GTTGGGTGTTGTCTGCATACATGTGGAAATGTACCCCATGTCTGAGGATGACATCCCCAAGAGGGAGCATGTAGATCAGAAAGAGGAGAGGGCCAAGAATGGATCCTTGGAGTACCCCGCAGGTGACCGGGTGAGAGCGGGAGGAGAAGCCGTTTGTGCAGATGTACTGCTGGTGGTTTGTGAGGTAGGACTCGAACCAGGCGAGTGCGGTCCCACTGAGGTGGAATCCGGAGGAAAGGTGGTGGAGGAGGATGGCGTGATCGACTGTGTCAAACGCGGCGGAGAGATCCAGGAGGACAAAGAGGCAGAGGGAGCCCTGGTCACAGATAGAGAGGATGTCATTTGTGACTTTCACAAGCAAAGTCTCTGTACTGTGGGCAGGGCGGAAACTGGATTGGAGAGGTTCGAAGAGGGAGTTGGAGGAGAGGTGTGCGCGGAGTTGTTTGGCAACAACGCGTTCTAGGACTTCTGCGAGGAAGGACAGGTTAGAAATAGGGAGGTAGTGGCTGGGGTTTGAGGGATCGAGGGAAGGTTTTTTGAGGAGGGGGGTGATGACAGCAGTTTTGAGGGGGGAAGGGACTATTCTGGAGGAGAGGGACGTCAGCCAGCAGTGGGCAGAGGACGGGGAGCTGGGTGACCAGCAAGTTGGTGGAGAGGGGGTCGAGGCAGCAGGTGGTGGGTTTCACGGAGGTGATGGTGGGTGAAAGGGAGGAGGGAGAGATGGGGAGGAAGGAATGTAGGATGGGAGTGGTGGTAGGAGCAGATGATGGGAAGGGTGAGGGGGACAGAGAAGGCGTGGTGGTGGGTGACAAGAGTTAGGTGGATGAGGCTGCCTGGCGGGTGTTGTGTATTTTAGATGAAAAGAAGTCCATGACCTCCTCGCACTTGGCATTGGATGTGAAGATTGAAGAGGACTGAGGGGGCGCACGGAGGAGGTAATGGGTGGTGGAAAAAAGGATTTTAGGGTTGTGTTTAACCTCCAAGATGATATTGGAGTAGAAGGCCATTTTTGCGCGTGAACTGTCAGGTCAGTTTTCCCGCCATCTGTGCTTGAGCAGCCGGGTTTGGGTTTTTAGGCAGCGGAGATGGTTGTTGTACCAGGGGGATCAGGTGGGTTTGGAGATGGTCCTGGATTTCAGGGGGATGAGGGAGTTGAAGGTGGAGGAGAGGCAATCATGGAGCAGCTGGACAGCTGCTTCAGGATCTCCGCTGGTGGAAGGCTAGAGGGATAGGATATTTGATGATATGAAGGCCTTTGTGAGGGTCTCAGGGGATAGCCTTTTCCAAGGGCAGTAGAGAATAGTTGAGGGCTTGGTGGAGGAGAGAGGGATGTGAAGGGAGAAGGAGATGAGGAAGTGGTCCAAGATGGTCTTGTCCATTATGCTAAGGTCGGAAATGTCAAGGCCGTGGGTGATTACGAGGTCAAGGGCGTGACCACAGTTGTAGGTGGGTGAATTTATGTGAAGGGTGAGGTTTAGAGAGAAGAGAGCAAGGCAGTGAAGTCGGCAGAAGTGGTTCAAAGGGAGTTTAGGTTGAGGTTGAAATCACCCATTATGATCAGGCTTTGGAGCAGAGGGACAGGGAAGAGAGGACAGTAGAGATGTCTGTGTGGAAGGAGCCGGGGTGCAGTAGATAAGGAGGATTTTCAATGGGAGAGAGGGATGGAAGAGGGTGAGGTGCTCGAAGGAGGGGAAGCAGCCAGACCAATAGGGGGTAAGACCAAGGGAGGCTTTGGAAATGAAGGCCACCCCGCCGCCACGTTGGTTTGGACGGGGTGTGGTGGAAGGTGTAGCCAGGAGGGGAGGCTTCATCTAAGGGGACGGGGTCACTGGAAGAGACCCAGGTTTTGGTGAGCCCAAGAATGTCAAGGTGCTCGTCCAGGATGAGGTCGTGGATGGTGAGGGCTTTGTTTGAGAGGGAACGAACATTTTGGAGGGAAATGTGGATGGGTTTGCTGTGGAGGGAGGGGAGGGAGGAAAGAGTGATGTGGAGAGGATTTTTGGGTGTACAAAAATGGTTGTGGAGAGTGGTGGCAGTGGAGAGTTGGGGAGGGTACGTATGAGGGAGGGGGAAGTTGGGTTTGCCTCAAGGAGGCGGTTTAAGCGGAGGGAGTGAATGATGGGACACTTGGGGTTGCTGCTCTGGGACAGCCAGCGCTGGGAGCCACGATGGGCCCGGCAGAGGATACCCAGGCTGGAGCAGAGGGAAGTGGTGATGGGGTCGAGGAGAGAGAGAAGGCGGGGAGGGTGATAGGTGAGGAGGACAGAGGGGGAGTAGCGGATAGAGGTGGGTGGGTGGAGAGACATTTACAGTGGAGGAGGAAGCTCGGGTCGGGGGGGCAGCCAAAACGCGCATGCAGAGACTGGGAGCGAGCGACTTGAATCTGATGCTCTGTAGTCTTCCGCTAGGTTGAATGCCATAAAATTAGTCAAGTTCATATATTATTGTTTAGCCTTTGGCAGTAACTCTTATAGTGGAGTCCTGTAGCTCAGTGGTTAGAGCGCTCGCTTTGCAAGTGAGAGACCTGAGTTCAATTCCAGGCACAGGGCGAAACCTTGGGCAAGTTTCCTTACTCCACACAGAGCCTAATAATAATCCCTCCAAAAACAAAAACAATAATAAATTGGTCATTTTCAATCTACGACTGTTTGTGGGACATTGCTGTGCGCAATTGGCTGCCGCGTTCGCCCACAAATATACAGTCAATTCACTTTACAGTGTGTTCTGTGAAGCGCTTGGGACGTCCTCCCGACGTGAAAAGCGCTATATCAAGTGCAAGGATTATTATTATATTATTAATACTTGCATTTGATATAGCACTTTATCATTTCATTGAGACCTCTCAAAGTGCTTCACAGAATATACTGAAAAGTGAATTGACTGCATATTTTGTCAGTGTAGCGTGGCAGCCAATTGCACACAGCAGTGTCTCACAAATGATCATGGGTTGAGTGACCAGGAAGCTTTCTACAATTGTGTGCCAAGGCACTGTTGATGATCGATTCGTCTGCCAGGACTTGGAGCAGACCAGTCACTGGGGGCAGGGATTATTTCCTTCAGCTCCTGTGAAGCCTGCAAGCAAAATCCCTGATGATTAAGGTGGTCCGAGCTGACAAGGAAATAGGAAGCTTGTCAGACAGCATTTGGAATGGCAAGCTTTGCAATTTTAGTTGGTGAAAATCCATCAGTGACCCAAATGTACACTCCAGGTCCTCAAGCCTCGGATTCTGCGCCAATACTTTCTGTAGGTTGAGCAGGGTGTGTCCCTCAAAGAAGAGTTTATATTATTGCTTTGAATGGAAATTTCCATGGGTTTAGGGAACTCTCAGCAGTTCGTCTACAAAATATACAGCCACACTGCTTCACAATATATCTTTGAAGCGCTTTTGAAACATCTTGATAGCGTAGGTGCTTTATCAAATGCAAAGATTAATAGTTTGATTTGTACACTCTTAAGTAGGGTAATCAGTTTAGCAAACCAGAAATCTTCAGAGCCATTCTGAAGCCAATAATTACCTGAAAGTATGGCTAGAAGTCTTTTTTTTGTTATTATTGCAATTCTGAGTGGTGCAGAGCAGGTTATTTAACCTATAACCCTACTTTGAGGTAATCTATGCATACATTCACAATCATTTCCAATGCCTTCCCCCACCTCCAAAACATTGTTTGGCTCCACCATTGCCGCTCCTCTCAGGCTGCCGAAACCTTTATCCACACATTTATCGTGTCTAGGCTCGATTATGCCAACTCCCTTGCTTGACGGTTTTCCCAAGTCTTCCCTTTACAAGCTGCAGATCACCCAGAACTCTGCAGCCTGTGTCCTTTCCCTCCACCGGGTTCCGTGACCCTACCCCCTCACCTTTGCCCAGCTCCACTAGCTTCCCCCAGAGGAGTTCAAAGGCCTTGCCCTCCTTAAAGGCCCTCCATGGCCTTGCTCCTTCCTACCTCTGTGACCTTCTAACCCCATATCAACCTGTCCGCGCTCTCTGATCAGCAGGCTCCAGGCAGCTCCACGTCCCCCGCCCTTCCCGTCCCACCATCAGTCGGGCTATTAGCCACTCTGCCCCCACCCTTTGGAACTCCATCCCAGTCCCTATGCCTTGCTCCCTCTCTTGCATCCTTCAAGGCACGTCTGAAGATCCTCCTCTTCGAATGCATCTTTGGGCACCTTCCTATCCCTACCTTCCCTGCCCTCCACACCCCTGATCGGGTTCAAATTCCTGACTGTTCAGCGACTTGGGAAGTCCTCCCGACATGAAAGGCCCTGTACAAATGTAATTTATTGTAATATTGAAGAGATATGGAGATAGCATATAATCCTAATAGTAACACTGTCAGTTTTATGCCATCATCCATCTTGAAGGTATTTACTCCTTACGAATATTTGAGATAGTTTTTATTTCTATCGATCGCTGTAGCATCCTTATTCAGAAGTCTTTTCACCACACATTACCAAAAACGTATTTAAAATCAAAAGAGCATATTGAAGGACATCTCCCAAAGTGCTCTCTTCTGCCTTAAAATCCTGCCAGTAGTCAGAGAGATTTATTCGGTACGCCATTCATTTTCCACAAGGACATTGTAAGTGCTTCAGTGGTAATTTGTGTGCAGTTGAGATACAATTTTCTTTTTAAGTGGCAATATAGCGTAATTACTTCTGTCATAAAAAAACTATTCTGCTCTACAAAACCATGAATTCACATTATGGGCCAAATTCATTGCTACTCACTTGCTTCTCTCTGACTGCTCGATGATCAGATTTTGATATCTACACCTTCTGCAGTTTCACCATTCTTTGCTTTATCTCACTTTTTACCATGTCCAATTTGTGATTCCAATTATATTCTTTTCCTCACAGGAAAGTGCTTTGTTTCCATTCAGTACCTTACCAACAAGAAAGTGCTGAACTATTGGTGGGCGTCAGGCCTATTGTTATAGAGCAATATTGTACATCATCCAATGTAATCTCAAAAAATGTCTAGAAATGTAAATATCACAAATTTTACTTTTTCAACTAAAGATTTATTTCAGAGTTCATATGAAATACTGTACAAAGTATTCGACAGCAAGCAATATTTAATACCAATTCTAATACATTCTGTTCAACAAAATGTTATTAAATCTGTCTTCTCTTCCCCAACCCAATAAAAAAAACACAAAAGAAAAATAAGGTTTAATGAATCAATTGATACACTGCAGTTATTAGATATGAAACCTAGTAATTAAGCAGTGTTTCTTAAACTTACCCAAGGGCTTTTAACATTGCACCGATTGTAGGCCTTAATCCTACTTCTCAAAATAAATCTATTTCATTCTAATATTTTTATTCACAAGGACAAATACAAATTGCCTTATGGTACTGAGCCTGTATATTCAAACTGGACTCTCGTACTGAGCAAAGGAAAACAAAAGCCCAATCGTTTGTATTGGAATTTGAACAAACTTTGTAGCCTCACCAAACAGTTTTTAAACCCTAATCAAGCTTAGCTCTAAAAATGGAAACTGAACATATTGGTAGTACTGTAATTACTTACAAATTTACTTTATTTCAGCAGAGCAAGTTTGCTGTTTAAAAAACATTCATACGGTAAATATATTTTCAATGCGTTTTCATTTCTATAGTATACAATTCAAAATAGATGAAAATATGCTGGTGATGTAAATGGCAATAGATTCTGGATTTATAACGATTAATTTAGAACAATTTCATATCGGAATATAGGTTCTTTCTAGATATTTCTCAAACAGGGCACTTTAACCACAAGCACTGTATTTAAATAAATCTTGGTGGAGAAACAGGTTACACTATTTTTGTAATATTATAACTTGCATAACCTGCAAGTGTATAATGTTCAGGCAGATAGAATTCATTTTCAGCTACATTTTTAGTGACCTTAAAAGCCATTACCCTACTAGGGTGTGACCAGCGAGTTTGCCGCAGTTACCTTCCTAGAAGCTGGTATTCAGAAATGTTTATATGCATGAAAATTCTTGACAGTCGTCAATGTCAGTCAAGTCACATCACTGAAACCACCACGAGTTATGGAGTTGTCTGATCCATTTTCCTTCTATTAATGAAAAATGTTTTTTGTGGGGCCAAAGGCTGGGACATTGTAAATGCTGTACATTTCAATAGATTATTTTATTCTCTACGCGTTTAGAAAATGTTCACTGTACATTTTATTCCCATACAAATGCATCATTTAGTTAAAAGCTTGGGACCACAGACACTACCAAATGCCAGTGTAAGAGATAAGGGGTCATTGATTTATTCAGGTGGGTTCATTTATGAAACTAACAAATCCATGTTTATGATTGTGGACTTTAGTGTTTTACCAATCACATTTCAATCATACAGTTATTATGAAAGTAGTTGAACAAATAAAATTCAGAAAATTAATTTTTTTTTGCTCCAGATTTAGTACACAAGGTGTGACTATGTTGGAATGAAATTTGTAAGTAATAAGTAGCATATTAGGCAGCTTCATTGGAAGATGACAAAAGTGAGTTGCTTCACTCTTCCATTGCTACAGTGCCACAACTGATCAGAAGGGGGCATCAGTAACCAGGGTTTTTTTTAAAAAAAATAATGCGACAAGCAGCTACAAGCATCAAGAAAATATCCTATTGTGATTGGACAATGCAAGATTATATATACTGAAGTAAACTTTGCATAGATGGTAACCTCTTAATGAGTTATGAAAATTTAAGTATGAAAATTTAAATAAAAATATACTATGTGGAAAAACTGCTTGAGAAAAGTGTGTTTGTGATTATAACTATTAATTTAAACTGATACTCACCAAACTTGAATCAAGGAGATTTGGCTCATAATACCACATCTGTGCCGTCTGATTAAAATGTAACAGTAGTTTTAATGTTACCAGTATAAGTTTTCAAAATTTATTGTCAGAATACTTGCTTCATTCATGTAAAATAATACAGTACAATGTATGTTACATTTTTAGATTAATTCTAAGGCCCTCCTACAATTCACAATCATCTTAAGCTCACCCATTGCAGTGCAAACATTTTCATCAAAAAAAATTCAACGAAAATGAAATTCACTACATCAGCTTTGAAGATTCATGATGAAATATCTGAACTGAAACTTCAAACCTGCAGAGACAAAGTACATGCTTGTTTTCCTGAAAAGCATGCTCACAAATCAGCAACACCAACAGAAATAAAAAGAACACTGTCCATAGCAATTGGATAATTGTCTTCTGAAGAAACAGATAAATTGATAAGATACCAGAAATACTCAATACAGTTCCATCTACTGCAGGTAAATCAAATGTAGCAGCTGTGTTATCAGTCAAGTAAATTAAATTACAAAGAAAAGGGGGTCAAGGCATGTTGGAACAGTGTGGTTGCAAGTTCACAATCTGCCCTGCTGAAATCTTTGGGATGTTACGATCAGATGATAAATTATGAAGTTTACACACAGGTAAAATCTTGTGCAGCAAATACATTTGACATAAAACACTGATAAGACATTAAGCAATCTACCCACAAAAGCACCTAAACGTGAAAACTGTACGAAATGTATATTCTGCATCATGAATACCTTGACCATTAAATGTAACTGCTCTTCAAGTACCAGTTTAGGAGATATTTTCTTGCTATTAAAAAAAATGTGATACGGCAAGGACATTCACCACCAAAAATAAGAAATGGTTGCTCTAGCACATTCACAGCTTCGACTGCTATAATCTGTAATTGGAAGGGGGGGCAGGGAATGGTTGGTTTGAAGCAGGTCAAGTAAACTATGAAAGCAGCATGTCAATAAACACAAACTGTGCTAGAGCTTTCTTTTCAAGTCTAACCCAAGTACTTTATATTATGGAGGCGATGCTCCATCTGTGGAAACAAAAGAACTTGGCTAATGTGGTTACACAGTACATTCTTGGGAGCTGGGCCAGAGCCCAGGCTGCCAGCCATATGTTCAGTCTGCAGCCTCACAGAGAGTGCATTCAGTTTAGGATCAGCCAGAGCTCAGTACCGGAGTGTCTGCTGGGAGTACTGTGGAGGTTGCTGGGAGGTAGTTGAATATCCCATGCTGCTCTGTGGCTGTGACGTTCCTGCTCCAGGATTCTGATAGGCAGCATGTGGGTTGGAACGCTAAAAAAGAAAATTATTTAATCAAATTTCTTATCAATACGTAATTAAAACCTAAAATGACAGTGAAGGAAAGACTCAGATTCTGCCTTGAATTTCACTCTAAGTGTCAGCCTCGTTCAGTGGGTAGCACTCTTGCCGGAATCAGAAGAATATGGGTTCAAGATTCACATCAAGACTTCAAAATCAGTCTAGGCTGACGTTCCAATACACTGCTGGGGAAGCCCTGCATTGCTGGAGTTTCTGTCCTTCAGATGAGACGTTAAACCGAGTTTTAATCTGCCTGGTCCGGTGGACGTTAAGGATTCCATGGCAATAATTGAAAATAGGAACCTTGGTAAAGCCTGATGAAAGTGAGTTGTGCAAGATCACAAGTGCATCCATTGCTTCACCTCCTCCCTCTCTGCTGTCAATACCCAGCCAACATTCTCTGATTGCCCCTCGAAGTACCTCACCTCTCCCTACCCACCCACCACCCCATGTCTCTCTGAACTCAGGCTCCAACTCAGTCTTTGTAAAGCATCTGACACACATTTCTTGTATTAGAGCACCTACATAAGTGCAAATTATTGTTGTTTATACCTGATAATCTGAGGTCATTATAAGTCCACCTGAGGTAGTGGTAGGAGGAACGACTCGGACTTTCTTCAGAGGGGGTCCTTGTGTATGACTGTTGTCTTGGTTCCCTGGGTGGCCACCTCCATTCGTGTGGTTATTGCCCTGCTGTTGCTGTTGGTTCTTCTCAATTTATTTAAATAAACAGAGAGAAAATTCTGAACTAGCATATTCAAACATCCGCATCCTTTTTTCAAAAGGTTATACATCTGGTGTACAAAACCATAAAAGTTTAGTACTGTAATTTGAGACAGAAATTATTAAGTGAAAATGCCTTTAAATAGAACTGCAGGCAAAATAAACTACAAAGAAAAAATTATACTTTTTACATGCTATTGGCTGCTTCAGTGCAATTTACACTCGCCATTATGTCAGTCATAACATAACTCACACCAGAATTCTGTGAGAAACAGACACATTTTTACCATTTCTATTCCCTACACCTACCTTGTCTCCCTTATCATCGGGTTCATCTTCTGTAAGAAATTCTCGTTTTGGATAAGGAATCTGATAACCTGCAAACACACTGCAAAATGCAAAAATAATTACAACAGGAAACAATCAGCTCTACTGATTTCTAACTTCTCAGAATCTATATATAGAGAACAACAGAAATAGATTGCTAAAAATTATATTTTCTTCTGAAAATGTGCTTAAAAAAATCTAACAATGGCTCTATTAAATAGTCCCAATAAGAAGATAATTAGCCCTATTTCACAGGACTTTCACTCTATGAATCAAATCACTTATATAGCATAACATTGAGGTCTGCCTAAAATTGTAAAAAAATAATGAAAAAAATCCTTGCATTTGACATAGCACCATATCACATTGAGATGTCTCAAAAGAGCTTCACAGAATATATTGAAAAGTGAATTGACTGTGTATTTTGTGGGGGAAATGCGGCAGCCAACTGCGCACAACAGTGTCCTAAAAACAGTTGTGGACTGAGTGATCGTACATTTTTTTGGCAGGGATTATTACCTCTGGAAAGCAATCTGCCAATCGGCTAACAACAGGGTTCCTTGTTCCTGTTAGGTAAACAGAGGCATGTGGAGTAAGGAAATTTGCCTAACGTTTCGCCCCACCGGGGAATCGAATCCGAGTCCTCTCACTTGCAAGTTGAGCACATTAACCACTATGTTACGGGACTCCTGAAAGACCCGGTATACCGCCTCATCCGAAGGATGGCATCTTTGACAATGCAGTGCTCTCCCCCAGCACTGCATTGGAGCGTCAGCTTAGACTATGTGATTCCAAGTCTTGACATGGGGCTTGAATCCACAAACTCCTGACGCAGAATCAAGAAGGCTACCAGTGAGCCAAACTGACCAATGAAGCTAGTATCTCAGTGAATGAGGATAGAAGCAGCAGGTGTCAGGCGCTGCCACTGAGGACATGGCATTGAGGTCACTTTCCCTCTATATTATATGCACGCGCCCAAGGACAGGGTAGCCAGGCCAACAACAGGGTGGATAAAAAGGGGCAACCTCACTTCAAAGTGATTTTTTATGCTATAATCACAATACCAGTAAATAGCACCCACATTAGCAGACTCCTACATTGTGTTTATAATTCAATGTTTTTCACTTTGTTTTTACAATGTCTGCCCATGCGTTAGTTTATGCACTCTGAAATGGTGTGGAGAGAGATGGCTGGAGAGAACACAGCTTTCAGAAGTCTTCATTTCTAAGACTCCACAAGGCAGGCAATACCTACTTCTCCATTCTTATCATCCTCCACACTGAAATGTACCATGTAATGCTTTATATACAGGAGTTATATATAGGAGAATATAATGAGGTTGCTGGTGACTTATATATAGAATGCGTGATTTTACCTCATGCAAGAAACTAGGCTGTAGAGGCAATCTTTCCTTTCCTGGATGCCACTGTATAGGCAGAAGCCAAACCTACCATTAATATGATCTTACCGAGCAAGAATGGGGGCAATAGGGTAAAGGGGGAGCACATGGGCCCTGTGCAGGGAAGAGCTCAAGAATCCGTAAGCACAGCATTAGAATCATTGAGCCTGGACATGATAAAGGTGGGGATGAGCATCTCAGTGGCTGGAGAGGTAGTGACAGAGTTTTGCAATATTATCGAGACGAGGAAAAACTGACCAAGCAAGAGGAATGGATGTAGGATTTGAACGAGCGGGGGTCAAAGAAGACACTTAGGTTCCGGACCAGCTCTGCAAGGTGGAGTGCTCAACCATCAAGGTTGAAGTCATCATTGCCTGAGTTGAGAAAGCACTGACAGGAGTCAGGCATGAGAGCCTCAGGCTTGTCAACATTCAATTGGAGAGTTCGAGCTCATCAAATTGGAGTATGTAAATGATGCAATTTTTTCCACTGAGTGGAGTAGAGAAACAATGGCAAATTTTACATGGTGAAATGTTATGCTTCAAATGGTAAATATCAAAGGTGTCTGTTTGCAACTGTAAAAATTCTCAAGGACTTTACGGCATTTGAAAGGCAGCTCGATTGGTACCAATCAATTCTGAATTTCCAAAAACAAATTGAAGAGAACACAGCACATATCCACTATCAATGGAGGGAGAAGTAAACTGAAAAACTATTAGACACCATATAAAAACTATATAATAAAATAACTAAAACAATGATATTATAAACTATTAGACACGACATATGTCGCACAGGAATCTGAGAGACCGATGTGAATGCATTTTCCAGTACCATTATAATCACAAAGTCAAACAGAGGCCATCTCTTTTTAAGGATTCCCCAATGTATCAGTACAGTGCTGTCCTCAATCCTATGATATTTAGAGGATGACATTTTGTTTTCAAGAAAAGAGTTAATGTAAAATATAAACCTCCAAGATAGCAATAAAAAATATTTTACAAGTACATTTTATTTTTAAAACTAGTTTCTTCCACTTTTGAAAATATAAAATTTGTAAAAGTATAAGTTAAGAACGCTAAAAGCGTCAAGAGCAAAAATTCATCTTAGCTGGCAATAATTAACGCTCTCCTTGAGATTACCTGGAAGACTTGATGCAATAGGCACAATTATGTTTTTGTTTCCTTTTTATATAATATATACATTTCTTACATATTTCTATGGAATAATGTACTATAGAGAATTGATATCTTAAAATTGTGTGTTCCAACCTATTGGTAGAGTGTTACTAAGCGGTATGTGAGAACACCTATATTCAAAGATAATCTCTTGCTTCCCACAAAATGTCTTCAATTTATCCATCTCTCAATCTAATAATTGAACCCTTTTAATGGATCAAAACATACACCATTTCTTTCTTAAACCCTTTGATATACTTGAAAATTATTCTTGCTGAAGTACATCATATATGACAAATGAATGAACATACTCTGAAGTAGGGAGAGGGTCTTCAAGGAAATAGGAGTCCTGCATAGCCTGTTCTGAGGTAATTCTCTTGGTTGGGTCCATGGTGAGTAGTTTTTGAAGCTGAAATGAACAGGAGTTACAAAAAGCAACAGATTCAACATTATGATATTCATGAAATCTAACAACAAGATATGTGTATAGCGCCTTTCATGTCGGGAGGACATCCCAAGGCGCTGAATATGATAACATTTTTCAAATAAAAACTAGAGGCTGTTTCTGTAGTACAAGTGATCCTCAACACCCACAAATTTCATAGATACAATGCCCTTTAATGCAGGATAAAAGGGCCTGTTGCTGATGCCACTTCCTGCTCATTGCACAGGAATTGCAGCTGAGGTCACTTCCTGCATACTATATGGCAGAGAAGCTATTGACATCACTTCTTTTGTGAAGACATGGGGATGGGGCAGGGCATTAATGGAACTCAACTATCAGGGTATTCAATCAAGTCACATGGTACTTAGAAATGAACAATGAGTTGGGTTTGAGGAAGTCCAGCATCTCCTCACAGTTAGAGTTTGAGGAGAGGATGGGCGAGGCATGGGAAGGTGGATGGAGGAGACGGTTTGTGGTGGAAAAGAGAAGCCTGGGGTTGTCCTTTGCCTCCAAGATAACCTTGATGTAGAAGGAGGATTTTGCTGAGGCAAGAGCGCAGCAGTAGGTTTTGGTATGGTGAAGTCAAATCTGCCGATGGACTGTTAGTTTGGATTTGGTCCAGGCGTGTTCGTCAGCTCGCACTTGTGCCTTGAGGGAACAGAGATGGCTGGTGTACCAGGGGGATTTACCCCCTACCAACCCGCCCGCTCCCTCCGCTCAACCGGCTCTAGCCTGCTCCACACCCCCGACACACCCACCCCACCATTGGCGGGAGAGCCTTCAGTCACTCTGCCCCCAACCTCTGAAATTCCATCCCCTAATCACTACACCTTAACCCCTCCTTAGCCTCCTTCAAATCCCGTCTCAAGACCCTCCTCTTCGACCATGCAATCGGCCACCCCCCTTCCCCTCCCCTCCCTTCCTCCCCCTGAACCCAGCTCGGGTCTGAAATGCTATACACTGTCCAGCACCTTGGGACATCCTCCTGACGTGAAAGGCGCTATAGAAATGTAATCTTGTTGTTTTAAACTTGCATCTAGAATGTTCTAGCCATTTAACAAAATATATTTATTTTATAAACATATGGGATGGGGGAGGGAAAAGAAGAGATATTTAGGTAGTTTTACACTCATTTTCTCTCCCCTTTCTTTATCCATTTGGCCTGATGCCTATGGTTCAGAGATTAAGGAAATTCCTGGCTTTCAGGCCACTGCCAATACGGTCTGTTGTCAGCTGCCAAAAACAGCCCAGTTGTAATTCTATCTCCCAATCTCCCCTTCTCATAGCCTCCACAGTCAGCATAGTTCATATTGGGAAATGAAATTTAAATGTGTATCTATTCCCACTCTGATGCCTTGAGTGCTAGTGTTAACTGTCAGTGTGCTGACCTATTAAACCAAGGATGGCCAATTTTGGGGCCTGTGGCCGCATTACGTTTCCGTAGAATATTCACACAAGCAGCCTGTGAGTCACAAGATGGCCATCCCTGCATTAAACAACTTAAAAAATGTAGCACCATTCACACTGGGAGAGGGTCTGAAATCTCATCACACAATTGACTAGGAGGTTGAGCTGGGGGTGGGGGGGTGGAAAATAGGAGAAGGAAGGTGGCTGAAAGCACTCTTGAAGAGATGAGTCTTAAGGTGGGTTTTGAAGGCAGGGAGGCAGTGTGCAAGGCCTCTTTGAATCTAAGATCTTTCCCTTTATTACAATGTACGATGGTATCTGTTTAATAGTTTATTGCAATAAACGTATCTAATAATATTCAGGTCATATAACTAACTTAATATGCCCGATGGTCTGGAACTCAAAACTATTTCTAAGGTCAAGGAGCAGTACTCTAAACTTCAGAACAGAAAACTTCCACATCAAACACACTGTCAAAACATACAGCAATGCTAAGAAAATTATTTTTTATGCTCACAAATCATATTTACCATATATTAAAACAGATCACAAAGGGAATTTGTGCATTTAATCCAGACCCAATCTTTAGATAGCTTTGCTTGTTTTAATAAGTCACCTTATTCACCCATAACTGAACTGCTGCCTTCTATTAAGAATTCTGGAGTCTATTACAGTTTTTATTGCTTTAAATATCTTCATGAACTCATTTCCATTTTAATTAAACTTTTTTTAAAACTTGCTTTCCGATCAGTTTTATTCATCTCACATGGCACCTCTCCAGGCGGAGAAGTTGTGATGTATCCTAATCTTAGTTTAATTCCTTTTTGTTGGAGACTACTCAGATATCCAGCTATATTTGCAATACTTTGGAAGTACTTTGTTATATTTCCCCAAATCCAAATGAAATTAACCCATTAGTTTTTACCATTATCGTATGGTTGACAAGAACACAGGAAATGTTAATTTATACATTTGCAGTTCAATTATTCAGTTGAATTATAAAATGCATTAATATTTAGTTGCCATGATTGTAATTTCATATTTGAATAGTCAAGGTTTTGATTATGTTTGAAGTGGGCATCTAAAAATGCGAATCAGCATTTAATAACTTGATCAATTCGCAAATATGTGTCATGAAAACCACAGAAATGTATTGCACAAAAGACCTTTTAGCCTACCATGTCTATGCTGGCTCTTTGAAAGAGCAATCCATACTCCTGAAAATTCACATTAATATGGATTTTTCAAGTACTAAGATCAAGAAGCTTTGACTTACCAAATGGAACGCTTTGCTTTCTGGCTTTACTTTATGTTTCTCCATATACTTGATAAGGCTGCAGTTAGTATATCTGGGAGACAAATTTTAAGTAGGTCAGAAAATCCTGGAATACGTCATGCATAATTTGTTTTTGAAAAAATAGAAATATATTACACTTCATATCTGCTTTGTTTCATAGCTTCCAGACTTTTATAATCTGAATTCTCAATGAGAGGACACTTCAAACACCACATTTCCACACCTTTCATTAATAATAATCCTTGCATTTGATATAGCGCCACAACAGCAACAACAACAAGATTCCATTTATAGAGCGCCTTTCACGTCGGGAGGACGTCCCAAGGCGCTGTACAGTTGGGTCAGGACCCGAGCAGGGGGGAAATGGTCAGGGTGAGGGGAGGGAAGGGAGGGGGTAGAGAGTCGAGAGGAGAGCTGAAGGTATGGTCAAAGAGAAAGGTCTTGAGACTGGCCTTGAATGAGGAAAGGGAGGAGGCAGCGAAGGCACTGGGGGATAGAGTTCCAGAGCCTAGGGGCTGAGAGGCTGAAGGCCTGGCCACCGATGGTAGGGCGGTTGGGGCGGGGATGTGGAGCAGACCGGAGCCAGAGGAACGGAGGGTACGGGCAGGTAGGTAGGGGGATAGTAGGTCAGAGAGGTAGAAGGGAGCAAGGCCGTGAATGGCCTTGTAGGTGAGGATGAGGATCATAAATTCTATTCCTTGGCAAAAGTAGAGACCAGACAAGATGGAAGGAATGCTGTTAATTTTTATCCGTATCCCATCAGCTAAACATTTTGTCCTGTCTTAAAGCTGTGTAAACCTCTAAAATTCTGTGTGATGAACTTTAGATAGAGTGTGCAAGTCTATTAAGGGATCTGCTTACAATCTGCAGCAAACCAACTACATGCTAGGAAAATATTTCTTCCTAATTGAAAGCTAAATTTGCTGCTATGATTGAAATATTGTGAGTTTAAAGCTGCTTGCAATAACGCAAAAATAAAAAAAATCTGTAAATCACTATATGATGAAGATCACTATCCCTGCAAGTCATGACAAATAGACGTTTAAAACTATCTTAACAGTGAGATAATGTTGTCTCATTCAAAAACGACAAGATTACATTTGTATAGCGCCTTTCACGCCAGGAAGACGTCCCAAGGCGCTGAAAATTTCAAATCACAAATCTCATACAGGTAAGATTTGCTTTTAAATTTTCAAAATTAGGTGAACAAGGCATAAACCACAGAAAATTCACCAGTTTCCATTATCAGTTATTGGGCTACACTAATCCTTGACAATCTCATCTAATGAACCTAAACCCATCCTAAGCATGGAAATATTTTTGAATGCCAGCAAAGTGAAGGAAGAAAATCTGACAAAACTAGAATGACTTTCAAAAGGGCTGTGGACATCCCAGAAAGGGTCTTTGGTGCATTGTGCCAGATCAGGCCTTTCATCTGGAACAAGGATGATCCCAGAACTAAGAGGTTATACCTATCAGGAAAGGCTGAACATGCTTGGACTCTTTTCTCTTGAAAAGAGGAGAGCAAGGGGTGACCTGATAAAGGTCTTTAAAATTATGACAGGTTTTGATAGGGTAGACATAGGGAAGATGTTTCCACTTGTGGAGGAGACCAAAACCAGAGTTACAAATAGATCAAATAGGGAAGTCAGAAGAAATTTCTTCACTCAGAGAGTGGTGTGAATGTGTAATATGCTACCACAAGGAGTTATTGAGGCACATAGCATAGATGTATTTAAGGGGAAGCTAGATAGGTACATGAGGGAGAAAGGAATAGAAGGTTATGCTTGAAGGCTTAGTTGAGAAAAGGCAGGAGGAGACTCATGTGGAGCACAAACACAGGTATAGACCAGTTGGGCCCAATGGGATGTTTTTGTGCTCTATATTCTAATATACTGTAAGTCTTATCTTTACGCAATCTGAAAGTGTCAAATGAAATTGAATTCCAAAAGGGTCCAAGAAATGGGATGTCTTTAGCTAATACTCCGGTAACACTCTTAACCATCTTTTGTTCAGAAAAGTCATTTTGACCTTATTCCCTGTTCAGACACAATAAACCAATAATCTCTGATAATCTATGCGTTAGGGAGTAAGAATTATTGATGGAACTGCAGAAAGATTGAATGGTGTGTTGAATATATCCAATACTGTGTACTCACAAACATACTTATTAATGCTATAGGTTGTAACTTTGTGAGCCAAAATTTTCTTTGTTCTTCATTTTGGGTCATTAAAAGCATTGGGTTATTAGAAAGAGACTGTTGTATTACACAGTAGGTCTTCCAGCCACAGTTATCATAAATGCACACAATATTCAACTTCGAGTTGTTCGAATCTGGAATGCATTGCCTGAAAGGGTGGTGGAGGCCGATTCAATAACTACTTTTAAAAACGCGGTGAACGGGTATTTGAGGAGGACGGGTTTGCGGGGTTATGGGGAAAGGGCTGGGGAGTGGGACTGACATTAATTGCTCTATTCAAAGAGCCGGCACAAACTCAATGGGCCGAATGGCCTCTTTTTGTGCTGTACAATTCTATGATTCTAAAAGAACATGTTCCAGCAATTCTGGACAGATAATCATTTGATCTGAGTAACACCAAGCACTTTTGTAATCATACCATATAAATTGATGAAAACTCACGTGTTTCTTCTGAAATCTTTCATCAATGTTGAATGTTCTGGCATCTTTTTAATGTCTTCCCAATCTTTATCTGTTAAGCATACAATAAGTAAAATGCAAGGTAATTTACACTGTGAGATGCCCTTAGATCTCACTGCAATCCATTACATTTTTAGTTTGTAATATCTAAAAGTAATTTTAACAGTAATGAATCAATGGTTCATTTTACACTGGTCAAAGTGAAGGATACCAAGGCTAGATGATGAAACACATTTCCATTATGAACACTCAATATCAGGAACTAGTAATCTAAATCAAGTAAAGCACAATCAATACCTGCTTTTTTATTTGTTATTCTGATCATAATTTTCACAATTTTAGGCAGACCTCGATGTTACTCTACATAAGAGATTTGATTCATAGAATGAAAGTCCTGTGAAATTATTATTTGAGGAACTGAAATTGAAGCCAAGAAAAAAGTCCATATTACCTACATATTCCTGGGCCATGAATTGGAACCAAACACGTTCTTGGCTGCCATTCTTGACCCAGAATTGCAGCCAAATCCGTTTTGGCCGCCACATAATCCCAGGACTGTCTTACTTCTGCATTTCCAGGACTTGCATCACAGCCAAATACAGGTGATCCCAATGCAGGAGGTGAGCAGATGTTCCAAATTAAATCCTGATTTTCACAGAATTTAGCTGGAGCTGGGGGTTGAGATAAATCCTCCCACCCACCTTATCTCTTGTTTTTTGACAGACTCTTCCTGCATGCTACAAGTAATTGTCACTGAGGTCACTTGTTCTGCCAGTTTATTAAAAAAAAAAGATTTTTTCCATCCCATCTCCTGACCTTTTTACCATACATCTTAATACCCTTACCTCCATTTGAAATATCACAAATGACTCCCATCTCTACATCCTTCTGCAGAGTGTACATCACATTGTTAAGAAATGTTTTCTAAAATCACTTGCAACTGCCTTAGCTCTAATTTTAATATAATGTTCGCTTGTTTGGATTCCTCTGCTACAGGGAAGCTCAACTATCACTCTATCTATTCTTATGAACGTGTCCTCTAAAGGCAGGAAACAAAAACAATCTACACAAAATATTTCATACGTAATCTCACTCAACAAGGTCTATGTAAGTTTTAAATAATTGTAAAGGTCCTTCCACCATGTTGAAGACAGATGTCCATTAGATGAGGAAACTCTGAGGCTTGGGATGACTGCTGCTGGAAGTAGTTATCTGAAGTCTAAGTTTATGAACACATATTCATATATCTATTCATAAATAAGAAGGGTATCGTTGGATCTGAACTGACTACAATGTGATGTGATGGCAACAGAATGTAGGAATCAAACCAATCCTTTGTGATGTTCGTGGTAGTCTGGTTCCTGAGCCTGGTAGTCCATAGTATTCCAGGGCACTGCTGATGATAGCCCAGTCAGCCTGGGCAGGGATTTTCTAGTTCTTGGGGGCAGAGATTTTCCCCACTGAGATCCTATTAACCCTGCAAGCCAAAGCCTGGTTTGATACGTAAAGGGAAAGTTTGTCAGATAGTTCTTTCAATGGCAAGGATTGCAGTTATAGCTGGTTAAATTCCAGCAATATTGCAACACACCCTCTGGGGTCCCCAGGTCTTGGCTCTTACCAGCCTGTGCCTAATCCTCTCTGGATTTAAGTAAACAAGATGTATCTCTTCAGGGAGAGCGTTGATTCCATTTCGAAACCTGGTAGGTGGGCTGTTTGGCTTGGATGCACTTAAGCATGGTGATGGGTTTCTGCATGAAATATGGCTACATGGTAGAATGGAATCTGTATTGGGACTTCTTTAATAGAGTGCCTCCAGTTCAGCATTCAGCCTACATGGGCTCTCCCAGTAACATTTTAGAATGGCACAAGATAAAACCATTAATTTGTCAATAGAAACTCCAACTTGTTACGTGTGTAGAAGTAGTACTTTGAAATAAAAATATTCTATTAGGTTTTGTGTCATTAAATGTTTTGAGGATTCAAACCAGCTGTAAAGATCCATTCCAAATTTATAGCCTTCTAAAGTGTCTTCTTGATCTACACAAATAATAATGGTTTATTCCATATAATGGAATGAAATAAACAGATCACTCCACAAAATGTTCTTCTTTGCAGAAAGAACATAATTTCTTGTGGTTTCAGGTGAGCTAATACTAATTTCACAAGAGAACTTTGTTCACCGATAATGAGGATACATGAGAACGTATAGATTCCTACCAATCTCCTTAGAAAACAGCAGCTGACCATCTACATATTTCTGCTGAATATTTTTACTTTCATTTTTCAAACCTTATTGGTAGTGTTACAGAATGACACAGGATTCTAAAGCAAATACACACTATGTGATAGCTACTGCAATAACAATAGAACCAGCTACGTAAAAAGAAAAATTAGTTTATGAAAAAAATTAGAAACCAATTGTTTTGCTTCTGTAACGATGTTCAAAGTTATAGGATAAAGCAGGTTATTGAATTTGTCCAGCTACGTTAACGCATAAACTATGTGCTTGGGGATTTGGCCTATATATTGTTAAGCTGAAGCCAGTATGGGTTTTGGGGCATTTTTATGAAGTGTATGAAATGTTCAATAATTAATTGTTCAGTGATTTGCCCATAAATCGTTAATGAACATCCTGTAGGCTAAAATGCTTTAAAGTTCAGTTCTAATTAGATGAAAGAAAACAAATTAAAGACAACTACATTCACGTCAGGAAATCTGTTTAGTTAGTTATATTGTTGTCCAAATTTACCTGCTGGAAATCCCATCACATTGAATATTCTGTCTAGCTGGTCATGATGATAAGGATTACTAGTTTTGATATCCTCTTGACGACAGTGAAAAATAGGTTCCGATGTTAACAGCTCTGCAAATATGCAGCCAATGGCCCAAATATCTATTAAATAGAAAAAGCATACCCGTAAGTAAAATAAGTAAGCAAAGATTCTGTAAGGAACTTAACCAGTCAAAGTTGTGGTTTTCAGATCATAATAATAGTAGTAATAATCCTTATAAGACCATAAATAAGCATTTAAATTCCCATTTACTGAATGAAAATAATTTAAATTACTGGGACCCTGCAAAATATTCTTAAACTGAAGATAAATATAAATTCAAAAGCATCCTCAAAAATAGCTTCAAAGTCATTAACTTCTGCCAGCGCCGTATTACTTATATAATCACTTTGATACTGTACAACAGATCTCAAATAATTATTGAAGCTGCATTTCTTGTAAATTGGCTTATGAAATTCTTTATCTTAAGAGGTCATTAGGACCATTATACTGTAATTCAAAATAAAAATTATAAATTGAAATTAAATTTTCAAACAGACATAGAATGTCTTAAAAAGCTTAAAACCTCCCAGCATAGTTGCTTTCTAATGTGAAAGTATCTATCTTACCACAGTTTTTTATTCCTCAAATTAACCTCCTTGAATGGCATGCATATTTTAAAACTGGCCTCGATAACCATAAATGTTGATTAGGGTTATTTTTGAGCAAGTAAAAACTGTTGAAAGATACTGTGTTGCTCAAATCAACTTACCTATGGCTTTGGTATAGTGCCTTGCCCCAAGAAGCAGTTCTGGCGCTCGATACCAGAATGTTACTACGACTGGATCCAGGTCTGCTAAAGGCTTCAGAGGCGAATTAAACAATCGGGCAAATCCCATATCAGCTGCAGGAAAAGTACACAACGTTTACACAATTTCTTCACGGTTATAATAATTCTTGCATTTGATATAGTGCCTCATCACATCTTCGAGATGTCTCAAAGCGCTTCACAGAATGTACTGTAAAGTGAATTGACTGTATATTTTGTGGGTGAAACGCAGCAGCCAATTGCGCACAGCAGTGTCCCAAAAACGGTTGTGGATTGAGTGACCTGTCCAGGAATCAAACCGATGTCTCTCGCTTGTGAGGCGAGTGCTCTAACCACTGAGTTACAGATATGTATATAGTATTAATACATATATGAGAGAAGGAAATAGATGGGTATAGGACAGAGGATAAAAAGGATGGAGGCTTGTGTGACTGGAGACTCGTATAAACAACATTATGGACTAAAAAGCCTATTTGCGTGTTGCATCATTCTGTATAAATCTAGTATGAAAAACTGTACAATGGAGAGAAATGTAAAAGCATTTTTTTTTAAAATTGCTTTTTTGGAACTCTCTGCCCAAACCCTTCCATGTTGTCTCATCCCTCTCGGCTTTCAAATCCCACCTAAAAACCTGTACTTTGGCTCTGCTTTCCCCGCTCTCCTAGTTCCTTCACAGCTCAGGCTTCCTCTCAGCCTCTGTAATGCACTTTGAGATGTTCCCTCTACGTGAAGTGAATTAAAATATATAAATGTGGTTGTTAAAAACTATTTTCACCTTCTCCCCCCTCCACCCCACGCACTGAATCAAGATATTCCCACCTGTACCACTCTTTAAATCTGTTTTTTGGGACGTCCTTCCGACATGAAAGGCACTGTACAAATGTAATTTTGTTGTTGTAGGTTCATGAGAGCAATCCTCCCTCCATTTTTTTCTTTTCCCCTGTAAGGAAGTATCTCAACATCTCTACCTAGAGATCAGATGTTAAGTTACATATCTTATTTATATATATATATATATATATACACACACACACACACACACATCAGGCCTTTCACATCAGGACAATGTCTCAAAGAGCTTAAATCACATCCTACACAGTGCAAGTTACTGGGAACTAACAAACCCACTGGCACTTTTAATACTCTTCTACTGTTTTTCTAGCTTTGCCTCTAATTTTCCTTCAAACGTTGGTTGCTTTGCTATTTAGTTTCTGTACTTTTTTTGGGGGTGGGGGGTGTCTCATATCTCACTTTCTGCAATTTTTTTCAGGCTGACAGCAATGGTTGATATCCACACAAAAATACAAAAGCAGACACTAATGGTAACAGAGAAAAGCCAGCTGCCAGGAAAGAGAATCAGTCAACAAATGGGGCAGCCAGGATGATAAAGTATTGGACAGACAATGTGTGGAGACACCTTAGAGGAAACAGAATTATGTGGGGAAAATTTGGAGAAAGCCAGTAATAATAGGAATGCATATGGGAATGATCAGAAGGATGAAGTTAACAGAAACAATTCATAATGGAGATAACAGACACTCAAAGGGAAATGTTCACTTTTCTTGTAAGACATTGGAAGAAGTTATATTTCCAAAATGGCAAAATAATGGCTGAATGTGGGACTCACACAAACATTTTGACTATAGGTTTTCAACACTCCAGTCAGAGTTTTTTTTAATTGAATTGCTACACAGCACATCTTAATAAATAACCAAACAGTTCATGGAAGTGTGATTTCCACAGGCACAAAATTGCAAATATTGATTTCTTGGACATTTTTAAATAAACGTTCAAGGCTAAGGTTTTTTTTTAACCTTTAGGAAAAATATAATAATAATAATCCTTGCATTTGATGTAGTGTTTTTTATGTCTTCTCGACGTCTCAAAGCGCTTCACAGAATAGACTGTAAAGTGAATTGGCAGGTAAATGGGACTAAAAGAATTGCTCTTGAGGGAGCTGGCACAGAGACATGATGGGCCGAATGGCCTGTGTGTAAATTTGTATGACCCTTTAATAATAATAATAATCCTTGCATTTGATATAGCTCTTTTCACGTCGGGAGGATATCCCAAAGCGCTTCACAGAACACACTGTAAAGTGAATTGACTGTATATTTGTGGGCGAAACACGGCAGCCAATTGCGCACAGCAATGTCCCACAAACAGTCGTGGATTAAAAGTGATCAATTTATTATTGTTTTTGTTTTTGGAGGGATTATTATTATTATTAGGCGTGTGGAGTAAGGAAACTTGCCCAAGGTTTCGCCCTGTGCCTGGAATTGAACCCAGGTGTCTCGCTTGCAAGGCGAGTGCTCTAACCACTGAGCTACAGGACTCCACTATAAGATTTACTGCCAAAAACTAAACAATAATATATGAACTTGACTAATTTTATGGCATTCAACCTAGTGGAAGACTACAGACTATAGGTCTCCACAATAAGACGAATAAGGATGTGAGTAAAATTAAGGAAACAGACAGGAATTTATATCTGGTTAATTTTTGAGATGTAACATAATTAAAAGAAATTCTTGTCTTAATTCTTGTAACATAAATGTTCCAAAGCATTCTGTAAAGTGTAGTGACTGTGTATTTATAGGCAAGTGCTGAAGAATGATGTGAATGGCTAATTTTATCTGCAAGATTGTTGTGCAGGACATGAGGAGAAACTCCATTCTCCTTTCCCACAATGCCATAGAATCTTTAACGACCACTTTACATGACCAATAATTGAACTTAGTGGTTTAAGGTTTCAGCAGCTTTGGGTGCTATGTAAAATGCAAGGGCTATAATTCTGATTACTTATATAAGCATCTCTGACAGAGGTTGAACATGTCAAAGTGCTTCATAGAGGCAATCTGAAGCACCAAACGGGGAGAAGGAAAATTTAAGGTGTTGATGATAATCGGCAATAATCATTTTAAGACATAATGCTGAAGCACTAGAAGTGTGATCTTTAAGGTCCACCTGAACAAGCAAGCGGGACCTCAGTTTAACATCTCATCCAAAGGACAACACGTTGGACAATGCAACACCCACCCAGCACTGCATTGGAGTATCAGCTTAGACTTGCGATTCCAAGTCCCAAAGTGGGATGGAACTCACAATCTTCTGACTCGCAGGTGAAAGTGCTACCACTGAGCCAGGCTGACACATCTTGCAGCCTTGCCTTGGTTAAACTCTGGAAGGGACATTCGAAAAGGCATCGCACCCACCACTTTCTGACTGCCTAAAAGAAAAACAGGTAAAGGGGGAAAACATGGAATCGGGATAATAACTTGTGGTTATAAATAAAAAAACATATACTCTTCTCTCATATTGAATTATGGCTATATCAAGACAAGAAGTTTGCTGATTTTTAAAAATGATATTGATGGTTTATACGACATGATTAATTTTTAAAGCATCCTTTTTTGGGGGATACATTTCCCTACTCAATTTCATACTTATTTGCAAGTATTCATATTTGTATTAGTTATTAAAAATGTTTTTAAAAACTTGAAAAACATTAGCTGAACTCGAGTAGCTGGCAACCTAATTTGGTGCCATTTCTAAACACTGCAAACTTCAATTCAATTCAGGCCAACTTCTCTGCAGGCTCCAAAACCAAATGTCATGACATCCCTGCTCTATCATCGGCTCCGTCTGTTTTGAGGCCTTGAGCAATCTCTAAGGATCCGATTGCATGGCTAATAAACTACCAGAAAAGGCAATACTGTAGTTAGTTGCAGCAGAACAAAGGTCACCTTGTTTTGCTTCCACATGAGGCTGCCGCCATTTGATTGGCAAGCTAAACATGGCATTGGATTAAACTGAGAGACACAGCCTATAAGTGTGCTAATTTTGCTTCTGAAGTTCAGGGACACACCAGTGGAAAAAAAAACTCAGCACCCACTGCTCTGACCACTGGCAGGGGCCTGGGAGCAGGGCACCTGTTTTCTGTGGATGGAGTGAGAGAAACAGCCTCAAAAATTAAAATACAGGATCGCTGCAAACTTCAGTTTGAATGCACCATAGCTATCATGAAAGACTTCTAAAGATTACAATAAATCTAACAAAAAAAGGAAGATGTGCAATGTCCACATAGTTCTTCCTAAACGTGTGTTCAGACTGCACAGCTTTCTTATAATTCAGGATTTCACTCAAAGGCCATTTAGATCACTGCCAGAGTAAATGAAAAGCTCCACTATTTTGTTAGAGGGTTAAAGCACATTTTGGGGAATTCAATTCCGCATCTGAACTGTTTCATAGCCAACTGCTTTACGTTGGCAATAGCAAAGCACATTTCAACACGCTTTATTTCCCCAATTAAAAAACAGAACTGTCTCAATATTCCCTTCCCCATGATATATCGAGTTTCATACTTCACAATTTGAATCCTTAAAAGTGAAAATTTCTTAAACTTACAAGTACTGAAATATTACAACATGAGGCCTCAAATTAATGAATCTGAGTTTGAGAAAGGGTTTGCGAACTGAATGAATATATTTTTGTGTGCATGTATGCATATGTATATAAATTTTATAATACACACACCTGTGCATGTGAAAATAAATGATTTTAACGTTTAAGCACTTTCTCTACTTCCAAATCTAGCAAAGGTTTAAAATAATTACAGCTCTTGCTTTGTAGGAGATATGATTTTTTAATTTATTTTCCATTCCCAATGGAGATCTACCAATTTATTTATTCACGTTCAGTAGGGAGCCATTTGTCTGACACCAGCCAACAGCTTCAAATCAAGCACATTGATCAGCAATCTCTGAAGCTGGAAAGTCATCAGGATGTGTCTGAGTCAGGAAATATGCACGTTGGATGAGTACCTCACATTTTTTGGTTTGGATGGCACTCAATTGACATCTACAACAGGAAAGGATGCTGTTCTGTATAGTTTCCTACGAAGTCTCAGCTCAGACAACATCAGTCATCCAGAGACCTGAATTGGCAATGGGAAATATGCTGCAGTAGGAAGCAAGTTAGTGTACAAAATAAGCTACAAGTTTAAATATCTCCTACAGGATAGCTTTTTTGGCAGAGCATTTTGCCGTAAAATTTTCCTTTCATGCATCTCTTCTCAAGGTATAAAAGAATCAGAATTTTCATACTTCAGATATTTATTCTTTTGTTTTATCAGAATCTAGATTATGGTGGACTAGTGGCTCACCAGTTTGCAGCCACAAGGAGAACACTGCTTTTCTTACACCTAATGATATTCCTAGCACTGCAAAGAATAAATGTTTTGAATTTCCATATTTCTATACAACAAATTATGATTTAATACAACATCCCTGAAATTAGTTAAGAGAATTAACTGTAATAAATAAACATGAACTTGAAGAATTGCATCATACTATACCTATTTTGACTCTGCCTCTTTCTGGTCCTTCACCCATTACTAAAATGTTTGCAGGTTTCTGGAATTGTAAGATCAGAATTTAATGTCAAACACCAGATTCATTGCAAAAACAAATGCATTTCTGAAAAGTCAGCAGACAATAAGCAAAATTATGTTCAATACATTTCAGATATGCTTAATATTAACTTGCATTTATACAAATATTGACTCATTTCACAAAATATAATTAATTAGAAATTAAATTAATGTTATATAGATAGGCAAATGAGGAAGCTAATCTTTGTTAGCAACATCCTGTAAGCGCTCCAAAACGCCATCCAGCGTGAAGGGCATTATATAAATGCAAGTTGTTGCAAATAAGATGAGAAGCCAACTCATTTGAAATTTGGGAATTCATTTGGGGATATTGATCACAAGAATTTAAAGCAAGCAAAACAAAAGAAAGTCTCCACATGTTTTTGAAACAGCAATAGGAGTTACAACCAGCTGAACCACAAGAAATCCAGCACCTAAAATTATTATTAATAATAATCCTGGCATTTGATATAGCGCCTTTCACGTCAGGATGTTTTTAAAGGGGTGGGGGCTTAAAGCTCTTCACCGGATATACTGTAAAGTGGAGCAATGTCCCACAAACAGCAATGGAGTGAGAAACCAGTTTTATTTGGGGGATTATTGGACAGGATTTGGGAGAGGGAAACTTCCTTTTCTTAAACATCCACCTGAACAGGCAGGCGAGCCTCAGTTTAACATCTCATCCGAAGGATGGCACCGCTGACAATGCAACACCCCCCTCCCAGCAATGTATTGAAGTGTCAGCTTAGACTCTGTGATTCCAAGTCCTGACTTTTGCCAGCCAACCCATCTCACGAGACGTCTCACCAAGATTTAGGAATATTTTTATATTCAAATTCTTGCTTTCTTTGCAAATTTGTACAGTGGCACTCCCAATAGATATTCCTTCATGAGAGCACCATATAATGCAGGTCTTTAAAGGTTGACAAAGGGTTTTCTCCCTTTCCTCCTTCAAGGCCGGTCTCAAGACCTTTCTCTTTGTCCGTGCCTTCAGCTCCCCTCTCGAACCCCTCCTCGCTCCCTCCCTTCCCTCCCCTCACCCTGACCATTTCCCCCCTGCTCGGGTCCTGACCCAACTGTCCAGCGCCTTGGGACATCCTCCCGACGTGAAAGGCGCTCTATAAATGAAAACTTGTTGTTGTTGTTGTTTATAAATAGGAGCATATAATATTAAACCAAAGAGGTGATCCTTAACTTATACAAATCATTAGAGGGACTGCAATTGAGATTATTGTTTCTATTTTGATTAATCTACAAAAGGGTGTCAGAGCTATAGAAGGGATGCAGAGGAGATTTACTAGGATAATATTAAGGATGAGTGATTTGACCCATGAGCAGAGACTGGGGGAACTGGGCCTATATTTTCTGGAACACGGAATATTGAGGGGAGACCTGATAGAGATCTGTAAATTAAGAGGGTTTTGATTCCAAGTCAGTGAGCCAGTGACCAGAGGCATCAATTTAAGGACAAGGACAACCCCAGGATCCTCTTATCCATCACCAACCGGCTCCTCCGCCCACCCTCTCAAGCCTTACCCATCCTCACCTCCAATGCCAACTGCAAGGCAATGCTGGACTTCAGCGAATCCAAAGTCGAGTGGATCCGCTCGGCTGCCTCTGCTCTTTCGTCTGCTATCCCCTCCCCATCTCCCCCTATCACCCCAGCCTCTACCCACCCTTCCCTCCACACCTTCGAACCTGTCTCCCACTCCTCTCTCACCACCACTATAACCCGCATGAAACCGGCCACCTGCTCCCCTCAAGCTCATCCCTACCCCTCTCCTTACTTCCCAGCTTCATCTCCTTTCCCCTCTTCTTACAGACATCATAAACCTCTCCCTGTCCACTAGTACTGTTCCCACCCGTTTAAAAACATCTGTCATCACTCCTATCCTTAAAAAACCCTCCCTGGACCCCTTCCTGCTCTCATACTACCGCCCCATCTCCAACCTCTCTTTCCTATCCAAGGTCCTGGAACGAGTCGTTGCTTCTCAGCATCCTTCCTCTCCCACCACTCCCTTCACAAACCCCATCAATTGGGTTTCCTTGCTGCCCACAGCACAGAAACAGGCCTGGTCAAAGCGACAAATGACATTCTGTCTATCTGCGACCAGAGCTCCCTCTGTCTCCTCATTCTCCTTGAACTCTCTGCTGTCTTCGACACCATTGACCACTCTATCCTCATCCACCGCTTCTCCTCTCACCTCAACCTTCACGGTTCTGTCCTTGAATAGTTCAGATTGTACCTCTCACACCGCCTCCACTTCATCTCCACAAACGTTTTCTCCTCTAGCCCCCACACCATCTTCAAGACCCATCTCAAGACCCTCCTCTTTGACCATGTTTTCGCTCACCCTGCTTTCCTCCCTGCCCTCCACCCTCCCCAAGCCCGACCCCCAGCTCGGGTCCGAAACACTACTTGTTCAGCACCTTGGGACGTCCTCCTGACATGAAGAGCGCTATACAAATGTAATTTTAACATAACATGTAGGAGCAGGAGTAGGCCATTCAATCATGGCTGATCTTCTAATCTAACTCCAGCTAATAACCTAACCCTGCCTTATCCCCATATCCCTTAATCCCTTGCAATAAGAAATCTATCTCAGTCTTGAATATGTTCAAGGAAGATTTTGTCATTGTTCATCATTCAAATAAATATATAAATATTCAAATTATAAAACTGGATAAGAAAGTTTTAAATCGCTTTAATGTTGGGGGGGGTGAAGGAAAGTTTTGAGGCAATTGAAAAGGTAGGATTTCAGGAGTTTTTTTTGTTAGGATATAAAAGGGGTGAGGCAGAGGGATTTATGATGGGAGTTCTAAAGAGTCATGGGAGTGGCTGAAAGATTGGGCACCGATGATGAAGTGAAGGGACAAGGAATGCGATGCTGGCCTGAGCTAGCTGAGAAGAGGGGCAAGCAGGAGAATGAGGGCAGAGAAAGTCATAGAGAAAGAAAGGGTGAAAAGGTGGAGGGGTTTGGAGGTGAGAATGAGGATCCTGAAGCTGTTCTGTTGGGAGCCAGGTGAGGACAGGGATCATAGTCATGCAAACTTAACAAACGCATTAGAAACCAGAATTGCAGTACACCCAACATCTGAAAGAGAAAAATAGGTTAACGTTTCAGCTATAACCCATCAATAGAATTGTCCAGAGAATGATCTGAAAAAGGGGGTCAAAGATTACTTATTTTTCTCTTTCTGATGTTGATTGACCTACAAGGAAATTTCCAGCTAGGTTAAGTATCTAATCAATCAGCAAAGAAAACAAACAAATCAAAATTTTCAGCTTATAACTGAGCTTATGCAAGCACTGAAACCGTGAAATGAGTGGAACCATATTGCTATTTGGAGATGTAATTACCAGCAACCCCCTTCCCAACAGTCTCTATCCAATTCCCCAATTTGTATCACCTTAAAGTTCATAAGCTAAGGCTTGACAAAACATACTACAAATTATTATTCTATTAGTTCAGAACACCTTATTGTAGTATACGGGGTGACCAAATTTTTCAGCTACATTATTATCTAAAAAAATTGCTTCTTTAAGACTTATTAGACCTTGTAATGGTATCACAACTTTTTGGTCACCTTTTATTAAATAATCCTTGCATTTGATATACAACAACTTGCATTTATGCAGCATAACTTCTCACAGCACTTTATAATGTGATAGCACCTTATCCCAGTGTCGAGATATTTCAAAACATTCAATAGGATTCTACTGTAAAGCGTAATGACTTGGAATTTGTAGGCAAACATGTCAACCAATGTGTACCAGTCATGAAGTGAAAAAGCAATTTCATCTAGAGAACTGTTGGATAGGACACTGGTAGAAACGCTTCTCTTTTAAAATTGTGCCATGGAATCTTTAATGTCCACCTGAACATCTCGATCTTATGGCAATGACATGAGACAACTGGTCATGCAAAATATAATAGATTAAGAGGTAGTGCAAAATTCTCAGCGGTCGCATATTCCCTTGTGGAATAAGAGTACCACAGGGAAAGCAATTCATCCGTGGCTAACTAGAGCAGTTAGGGAAAGCATCAAATTAAAAGAAAAGGCTTATAAAACTGCCAAGAAAAGCAGCAAATCTGAAGATTGGGAGAGTTTTAGAAACCAGCAAAAAAAACTAAAAAACTCATTAAGAGCGAGAAAAAGGAGTATGAGGGTAAGCTAGCTAGGAACATTAAGTCTGATTGTAAAAGTTTTTACAAATATATTAAGAGGAATAGGCTAGTGAGGGTAAATGTAGGTCCACTTCAGTCAGAGATGGGAGAAGTTGTAATGGGGGATAAGCACATGGCAGAGTCCCTAAATGGGTACTTTGCATCTGTCTTCACCGTAGAAGACACAACAAGTCTGCCAACAATAGAGATGCACCAAGAGGATAAGGACAGGGAGCAACTTAGGGAAATTTTCATTAGTAGAGAATTGGTGCTAGGGAAACTGTTAGCACTAAAAAGTGACAAATCCCCTGGTCCGGATGGCTTGCATCCCAGGGTTTTAAAAGAGGTAGCTTATGAGATAGTGGAGGCCTTATGTCTGATCTTCCAAAATTCCTTGGATTCTGGAACAGTCCCCATGGATTGGAAGATCGCAAATGTCACACCACTATTTAAAAAAGGTGGAAAGGAAAAGATGGGGAACTATAGGCCAGTTAGTCTCACATCAGTGATAGGAAAAATTTTAGAATCGTTGATTAAGGATGTGGTAGTGCGGTATTTAGGGGAGCACAATATAATTAGGCCAAGTCAACATGGCTTTACAAAAGGGAAGTCATGTTTGACAAATCTCAGAGTTTTTTGAGGATATTTCCAGTAAACTAGATAAGGGTGAATCAGTGGATGTAGTCTATTTGGACTTCTAGAAAGCATTCGATAAGGTGCCGCATAAAAGGTTAGTCCAAAAGTTAAGGGCCCATGAAATTGGGTGGATTGGGGAATGGTTAACGGATAGGAAACAAAGAGTAGGGATAAACGGGTCCTTTTCAGATTGGCGGGATGTGACTAGTGGGAGTGTCACAAGGATCAGTCCTTGGGCCTCAGCTATTTACCATCTACATCAACGATCTAGATGAGGACATCAAAGTTAATATATCTAAATTCGCGGATGACACAAAACTAGGAGGAAGTGTCAACACAGAGGATGACATTAAAAAAATGCAGCGAGACATAGATAGGTTAGGTGATTGGGCAGGTAGGTGGCAGATGAAGTATAATGTAGGGAAGTGCGAAGTCATCCACCTAGGTAGCAAAAACAGTAGAGCGGGTTATTTTTTAGAAGGGGAGAGATTGGAATGTGTTAGCGTCCAGAGGGACTTGGGTGTCCTTGTACACCAATCACAGAAAGTTAGTCTGCAGGTGCAGCAGCAATTAGGAAGGCGAACGGTATGTTAGCATTCATTATGAAAGGATTAGAGTACAAGAGTAGGGAAGTCTTGCTGCAAATGTATGGGACCCTGGTGAGACCACACCGGGAATACTGTGTGCAGTTTTGGTCTCCTCATTTAAGGAAGGATGTACTTGCCTTGGAGGGGGTGCAGTGTAGATTTACTAGGTTAGTACCAGGGATGAAGGGGATGAGTTACAAGGATAGGCTGACCAATTTGGGCCTATATTCTCTAGAATACAGAAGAATTAGAGGGAATCTTTTAGAAACCTATAAGATAATCAAAGGGCATGATAGAGTAGATAGTGGGAGATTGTTTCCCCTGGTTGGAGAAACTAAAACCAGGGGTCACAACCTTAAAATCAGAGGTCAGCCCTTTCGTACTGAGTTGAGGAAGAACTCCTTCACTCAAAGGGTGGTGAATGTATGGAACTCGCTACCCCAAAGGGCTGTTGACGCTCAGTCCTTGAACATATTCAAGACTGAGATAGATAGATTTCTTATTGCAAAAGGGATTAAGGGATATGGGGATAAGGCAGGGTCAGGTTATTAGCTGGAGTAAGATTAGAAGATCAGCCATGATTGAATGGCGGGGCAGGCTCGAAGGGCCGAATGGCCTACTCCTGCTCCTCCTACATGTTATGTTATAAAAGGCAGCAGGTACTAAAAGAAATAGATGCAAATGAAAGCAATCTCTTGTGCACTGCATATACAACTTGGAAAATTAATGTAACCAATGTCTTTTGTAATTATCATCTTAGGCAAAGTAAAAGACACAACAGGCCAGGCACACATAGCAAGTCAAATGCTTTGGTATGTGTACAGATGATGTTTAATAATAGTGACAGGCAAAATGGTGTACTGGCAGAAAAAACATGGATGTGGCCTTGAACTGGCCCTGAGGAATTTACACCCAATTTCATGCTCTGTGAATTGGTAATCCAATGTCTTTCATCTTTTTAAAATGGCTCCTTTACTCTGCTGTCAATGTGATTTAAGCACAGAGAGTTACAGTGCAATCTTTGACCCCTTTATAACAATATAACTACAAGCCTAATTTCTATTTTTATAAAAATATTAACAATTAAATTCAAGCTTCAGTTATTTTTAATGTGTATTACAACAAAATTACATTTGTAAAGCGCCTTTCACATCAGGAGGACTTCCCAAAGCGCTGAACAGTTGGAGATCAGGACCCGAGCGCTTGGGGGTGGGGGGGGCAGGGTTGGAATGAGGGAGCACAGAGAGGTAGGAGGGCCGCTGAAGGCACAGTCGAAAAGGAGGGTCTTGATTCGTGCCTTGAAGGAGGCAAGGGAGGGAGCAAAGTGAAGGGACTGTGGGATGGAGTTTCAAAGGGTGGGGGCAAAGAGGCTGAAAGCCCGGATGCCGATGGTAGGGCGGGTCAGGCAGGAGACATGGAGCAGGCTGAAGTCTCCTGAACAGAGGGAGCAGACAGATTGATCGGGGGTCAGCAGGTCAGAGATGTAGGAGGGGGCAAGGCCGTGGAGGGCCTTGAAAGTGAGGACAAGGATTTTGAATTCTATCCTCTGAGGGAGGGGAGCCAGTGGAGCCGGAATGAGGTTATGGAGCCTGGTGTGGGAGAGGACACAAGCGGCAGAGTTCCGGATGATTTGCAGCTTGTGGAGGGAAGAGTTGGGGAGGCCGGCAAGGAGGGAGTTTCCTTAGTCAAGCCTTGAGGTGACGAATGTGTGGATGAGAGTTTCAGCGGCCCGAGGGGTGAGGCAGTGGCGGAGTCGGGCAATGTTGCTGAGGTGGAGGAAGGCAGAGCAGGTCATCAACAACAACAACTTGGATTTATATAGCGCCCTCCATGCCGGACAGCGTCTCAGAACGCTTCACAGTAACGGACCCCGGGGCCGAGCCAGGGGGAGGGGGAGGAAGGTGACCAAAGGCGCAGTTGAAAAGAAAGGTCTTCAGCTGAGACCTGAAAGTACGAAGAGAGGGGGCGAGGCGAAGAGAGTGAGGGAGTCCCAGAGCCACAGAGCACAGTGGCTGAAGGCACTGCCGCCAAGGGTGGAGCGGAGGACAAGGAGGAGGCCAGACCCGGTGGAACAAAGGCAACGGGCACTGTTTTGAGGAGAGAGGAAGTCAGAGAGGTAGGGGGCGGTGCAGAGGAGTGGAGGGATTTGAAGACAAGAGTGAGGATGTTGAAATCGATCCTCTCTGGGACAGGCAGCCAGGTCATGGCACAGGTATGGGGGAGAAAGGGCAGTTGAGGGTCGAATAAGATGCCTAGGTTCCTGACTGGCTTGGTGAAGTGGGAGTGTGCATCCATGCAACCATGGATGCTGTTGCTGCCAGTGCCTGAGGCTCTGGCGCAAGCCAATCAGGAGAGCCTCGGTTTTGCTGACATTCAACTGTACAAAGTTGGCTCTCATCCAAGACTTGATGTCTGAAACAGTCTGTCAGGATGTTAGTTGTCCTGGAACCGAGGGTGGAGGCAGAGAGATAGAGTTGGGTGTCATCTGCGAAGATGATCAAGGAAAACTTCCTATGTTGTTGCTTAGTCTGTTTGATCAAAATTAACTAGGTATTGACAGGTTTTATCTTCATTATTTTCCTCCTCTTTGCTCAATGACGTTCCTGGCAGAGATTAGCTGTGACATTTGTCTATATAACAACCTTCACTTCAATCCTGATAAATTATATTTTGTAAAGAGCTTCAAGATGTTAATTTTTTTTACATGAAAGCCATAACTTATATGAAGTTTACAAGATATTATCAGCTTTTGAGCCATTTCTTCTTAGATCTCAAATCTTCAAAAGCAGTCCTGAAACGTGTTAATAAACAAATTTGGAGTCTCTTGCACAAGACAATGGGCTTCTGCATGTGTCAGATATCCAGCTGACCAAAAATATTGAACATCTTGAATAAAACACCCTCCTTCTCCAGTGTTTTGACATCAAATATGAATGATAAATGAATAATCAACATTATATTTGTTCAAGGACGACCGTTCATGCAGCAAGGGTTAGAGAAACCTACTCTGTCCGCCCAGCTACCAGCTACATTTGTGGGCATGACCAGTGAAGGTGGGTAATGCCAGGTATGTGCCACTACCTTTCTTAAGGGTAGGTAAGATACATAGCAAAAGCCATTTTGCTTTCTGATCTATTGTCAGAATTTTCCACAGGAGTGAAACAGACCGGCAAAAATGGAAAGCAAAAACTATTCTGTAAAATGGTCTTTTTAAGTTTCTGAGATCTGAAATCTCAAACTTAGTACAAAACTGAACATGCTCTGAAGAGAAAACTAAACAAAATGAGATGAAAGAAAAAAAAACTCTCCCAAAGTATTTTCTTCTCATAAAGTTGCTGCAAGAATGCAGGCCAAATCACAAAAAGGGAACCATAATCCAACATCTGTCACTCAGCATTTACTCTTATAATTAAGAGTATAATTACTCTTATTTCAATTATATTTAGGGCTTTGATCTGTCACTAAGGCAACCAGCAATAAAATCAGCAACACTTTTTGCAATAAATATTCCCTGATATCCATTTCACATATCCTCATCAAATCACTTACCAGATCCCTGTGTAACACCCAGTTAGCATGCAGATAGTGAATGCCATCTAGAATCTGATATAATAGGGATTTCACCATCCCTCGAGGTAACTGAACTGGTTTCTTGTTTGCTTTAGAAGCTCTGTGAAATTTGATTATGTGCTGAAAGAAGAAAAACAAAACATTTATTGGCAAATACAGGAACTGAGGATAGGACCACATTGCTAGTGAATTACATTCCTGAGGTCCTTTTCACAACTGTTTGATGGTACAATTCATCTATCCAAATATTTCTTTTTTAATCTTTTACAGTCTCAACTTCATTAGTACAAGACCATATTGCTAAAATATATATTGATTTTGATACAGCTTATTTCTTTCTGTAAAACTACATATGTCCATATAGTATGTACGTTATACTTGCAACTAGATCTAAAATGCATTCTCATTTACATATCTCGAGCAGAGGAAACCACTGATACATGAATGAACCAGTTTTTCTGACATGAATAAAATTAACATCAACTTGTCCAGTTTGAAGTGCTGCAACATCAAGGCAGAATTCAAAACATTTTTCCTACAACAGATCAATGAACAAGAGTTTAACTTTTAAATAGCAGTGCTTTAAAATGTGCACAAAACAAAATAAGACAAGAAATATTGTTACATGAATACTTTTTTTTTATTCTGCCAGTTAATGTCAGTTTTAGAAAATAAATAATTGACAGACTGCAATATAGGAATGTTTTTCCAAATTTAGGGCAGTTTGATTCTCAACTCCCAAAACAGCCCATTACTTTAACTGTCCTATAGTTAGATTCTGTCAGCTCTCTGTCAGCTTGACTGCTGAATAAAATACTTCAAAGATCGAATACTGTAAATATTAGAGTGAGGATGGGGCGAGTGCACAGGAAGCCAGCAATTACTCTTGTGAGGATTTCCAGTGTTTGGTTGAATACCACTAGATGCCGGGAGGCCTTCTGGACCTGGAAAAGCTCCTGGCATCCAGATTATTCAAAACTCTGCCGCCCACATTCTCACCCGCACCAAACTCCAGTCCCCGATTACCCCAGTCCTTGCCAGACTAGACTGGCTGCCTGTCCCAGAGAGGATCGACTTCAAGATCCTCATCCTTGTCTTCAAATCCCTCCACTCCTCTACACTCCACTACCTCTCTGACCTCTCTCCTCAAAACAATGCCCGTTGCCTCCGTTCCTCCCGGTCTGGCCTCCTCCTTGTCCCCCCGAGTACTCCGCTCCACCCTCGGCGGCCGTGCCTTCAGCCACTATGCCCCGAGGCTCTAGAACTCCCTTCCTCATTCCTTTCGCCTCGCTCCCTCTCTTCAGGTCTCTGCTGAAGACCTTTCTTTTCGACCGCCCTTTGGTCACCTTCCTCCCCCTCCCCCTGGCTCAGCTCCAGGATTTGTTACTGTGAAGCGCTCTAAGACGCCGTCCGGCGTGGAGGGCGCTATATAAATCCAAGTTGTTGTTGATGCTGAGAACTATTTCTAAAGGATATTAGAAATATCTGCCTTCTAATTCCAATTCTAAAGGATAGAGGGATTAAGGGATATGGGGATAAGGCGGGCAGATGGAGTTAAATTAGAAGATCAGCCATGATCTTGTTGAATGGCGGGGTAGATTTGAGGGGCCTAATGGCCTACTCCAGCTCCTAATTCCTATGTTCCTATATTACATACTTCCAGTATACCACGTAATGAGCAGATCTGTGCTATATCAGAGTGAGTTATAACTTATTGTGAGCCAAAGTGAATTATTTAATGTGATCAGACATAAGTGAATTATTACAAATATGTTAGTTAAGTAAGGTATGCTTCTTAGTTAGTGTCGATGTGACCTGCAGAATTACAATCTTGATTATAAAATGTTGTTTTGATTAAGTGAAGATTGCTTATGTTCATTAGCAGGTGTACTACAATCTTCAATACAAATGTTTTCATTAAATTGAGCTGAATTGCAGAACTTCTATCTAGGCGTAACAAGTGTTACAGGGTAGCTGGTATAACACTAGACAAGATGGTATAATATGTTGTGTATTGTGACATGAAAAGTAAAATTGGCTAAAAAGAGGTAAATTTGTTATTACAGCTGTAGTTTGATGTGTCTTTTATTTCGTGAATTAATTGCTGCTGTAGTTTAATCAGAGTCAGCCCAAGGCCGACGTGATTAAAATAATCAGGTGGATGAAAAAGTGCTGACATGCACTAAATGACCTGAAGTAGGGAATCATGATATGAAGTATAGCTGAGTTACACTTCAATGCTTGGGCAGTCAGAGTTGGTGTGAGAGCGAGTGTATCATTCACTTCTCCAGGAAAGGCAGAACTCCCACCCAAGGCTTAGGGATTCAAGTAACATTAGAAGGAAGAAAAAAAAGGTGTTGATGATACAAGAACACAGTTACAAGAGATGCAACGCCCGCTATCATCAGTATCCAATGGTATCCAGGGCTTGATATCCAGGGGAATATACAAAAGTAAAGATGTGATATTGCATCTATACATAGCATAGGTTGGACCACATTTGGAGTATTGTATCCAATTCTGATGTCCACACTATAAGAAGGATATTGCAGCAATGGAAAGAATACAGCGTAGGTTTACAAGGACAAGGATAGACTGGATGGGTGATTTGCTGAAGAGATGTTTATGGGAGGACCTAATAGAACAACAACTTGTACTTATATAACGCTCTCCACGCAGGGTAGTGTCTCAGAATGCTCAAGAGTGGCGGAGTCCCAATTCCGAGCTAGGAATAGAAGTGTTTAAAATTATATGATGTTACTGAACCACGCAGGAAGCCGGCAATCTTTCTCGGGAGCATTTCCAGCAGTTACTGGGATGCTGTGCACCTCCTTTTCCCATGCACTATGACAAGCAGAGTCAGTCAAGGCATTTGCCAAGGAACAATCAATTTAAACATAGAGAAAGGTAGAGGGATATGGGTTTGGGACTGCTATGTAGTCCAGCAAAAAAGACTCAGTGAAGGCATTCAACAAGTAACTAGAACAATTCAGGCTCAGCAAAAGGAGGAAGAGGATTTGAGGCATGAAAATAATTTTCAAAAAGAAAACAGTAAAACCAGGTAGATCCAGCAGGTAGCTGAACAAGTTGGATAAACTTTTTGATTTCCGCATTCTTATACTCTTAGTTCAGCTGAAAAAGGGAACGCCTGGCTCAAACAGGCCACAGATGACAGAAGAAACAGTTCAGTGTTAAAATATTTTCAAAGTAAATCAATAGGAATGCAATAAATCAGGAATGAACCTGTGGTGAAATGATGTGAGCCATCACCAGACTTTATTTCTATTGGTTTTAGGCCAGTTTCTAACATTCTTTTTCTTCCTCCAAACGTGCCGTATTTTATCCCCAAACTCGGAACTAAAATACTATGAATGCTTTATTCACAAAACGTTCAAATTTTGAAAGACTTGCTATACACAAAACAGTTTAGAGAAAGTATTAAATAGCTACCAGTATATCTTGTTGAGCAATCTAACATTTGTAAATATGTTGAAATGAGGGCAGATTTGATTAAAAACATCAGATAAGTGATTTTCTGAGACTGTGCTTCCCTGTAATACTGAATATATTCATGGTGCAAATACATATTCTGGTGTACTACTCATCAAATTCTCTCACTTTCAGTAGGTTTTAGAACATTGGCAAGTGGTGCAAAATGGCTTAGGGGTACAGATCCTTGGATGAATAAGGAGGTGACGCAAAGCTGCAGCTAAGGAAAAAAGCATTTGAAAAGTACAGAATAGGTAATGGAGAGGAAAACAAGAGGGAATAAAACAAGTATAGGAAAGAGTTTAAAACAACGATTAGTCAGGCAAAGAGGAACTATGAGCAGAACATAGCAAAAAATATAAAAAGAAACTGCAAGGTGTTGTATGAGTATGTTAGCAATAAAGGGATGGTTAAAGTAGGGATAGGACCATTGAGAGGAGAATGTGATAATTTCACAGCAGACAACAACAACAATAACAACAAGATTACATTTGTATAGCACCTTTCATATCGGGAGGATGTCCCAAGGCAATAAGCAAATGGCTGAAATACTAAATGAATAATTTGCCTTAGTTTGCACAAAGGAAACTGATGAACAAAATGTAATAAAGCAGAAGGGGCAGGATGTAAATTTGCAACATTTAAGATAGGGAGAAACAAGGTATTAAATAAATTACACAATCTTAAAGAGCACAAGGAAACTGGCCCAGATGGACTGGGCCCAAAGATTGTTAGGAACATTAGGTAGGAGATAGCTGAGGCTCTAGTATATAGATTTAAAAACTCTGTAGAGAAAGGAATTGTGCCAGAGGACTAGAAAATGGCCAATGCAATATACCCATTTTTAAAAAAGGGTGATAAGAGCCTTCAGGAAACTGCAGGTCACCTATCTTAACATTGGTTGTGGGCAAGGTATCAGAAGCTACAATAAAAAATGAAGTAACTAATCATGTGGAGAATCTAATTCAGAACAGCCAGCAAGGATATATGAAAGGAAGGTCATGCTTTACTAACCTTATCAAATTCTTTGAAGGTGTAACTGATAAATTGGACAAGGGAATTGCAATCAGGGAATGTAGTGTATCTGGATTTTCAGAAGACCTTTGATAAAGTGCTTTATCAGAAGCTTGTGACTAAAATAGGGGTATGTGAAACTGTGGGAGAGGTAGTGGAATGGATTAAATAATAGTTAGGAAGCCAAAAGCAGAGAGTAGGAGTTAAGGGTATCTTTTCAGACTGGAAAGAAGTAGGAAATGATGTTTCTCAAGTCTACTCCTTGCACACTTGAAATAAAACATCTGACACAAACATTTCCAATTTCTGATTCCATACAGATTTAATTATTTCAAATATAGAAATATATTTTTTGAGGAATAGATGCTAAAACTTACTAGGGGAATTAAATTTAACCAATAAAAAAACAGTAAAACTACCAAAGATGTACTAATGCTTTGCAGTCCAAAAAGTACATTTGTAATATTACTCTTTCTTACCCAGAGGTCATGTTCCGCATAGTCAAACAAAAGCCACACTTTCCTGTCTGCATGTGACAGAAATACTTTCTGGAGAGCAATGACGTTTGGGTGTTTCAACTCCCGTAGCAACTGTGAACAAAGAACACAATATTAGAAAATGAGCTCAATTCAAAATTAAAAACTGATTCCAATACGAATTGAAAATATCCTCGTACCTACTGGGACTTATTTTAAAATTAAAAATAGTTTTGTTAGAGTTGCAGTTTAAATTTTCTGCTCCCACTACTTCCATGATTGTTCAAGAACCAGCTGCAATTTTCCCGAATGTGTTTGTCATCAGCCTGTTCACAGAGCAATTTTAGCAGGTTCAAAGTCAATAATGGAACAATGGTTAACGCAGCACAAATCAAGTATCAAATCTGGACCCTTCTTCATCTAGAATTCAACCCGTTATAACACATTTAGCTATATTCCAAATCAGTTTATAGTATTGCGCTGATCAGCCAGCTTGCTGTGTGCAAATTTACACAGGAAGAGCCACCAAAGTCTCCTTGTGCACTGTGCAGGAAGGACTGCTGACTTCACACAGGGAATATCAGTAGTGCTTCCTGCGCATAATGTGCATCTATGATTTCTTTGTGCGAAACACAGGAAATAAAGTCAGTCTGTAAAGTCAGTGTGGCTTCATCAATTTATAAAGTCTTATATAAAACACGCATCATGCAGGAAGTGACAACCTGGAAATGCTGACAAGCTGCTATTTGTGTGCACATCACATTATAACCCAAGGTCTGTGTTTATTGAAGCAAAACCCTGCATGAACAAGGTTGGGCTATATATGACTGATGCACCACATGGTGCAGTACACTCACATTCGTTAGAAGAACAAATATGAAAATTCTTAAACAAATGCAATATAGGAAATAATATACTTTCAAATAAGCATTCAACAACAACAATTTGCACTTATATAGCGTCCTCCACATAGGGTAGCATCTCAGAACGCTCAACAGTGGCAGAACCTGGGCGGGTGGCGGTGGGGGAGGCGGTTGTAAGTCCTCCCGACGTGAAAGACACATCCAAATGTAATTTTGTTGTTTTTCATGTAAGCATGGTCGAAGAGGAAGGTTTTCAGGAGGCACTTGAAAAAGGGTAGGGGACAAGCGGAGGGACCGAGGAAGAGAGTTCCAGAGTTTTGGGGCATAGTGGCTGAAAGCGTGACCTCCGATGGTAGGGCGGAGGGTGCGAGGGACAAGCAGGAGCCAGTCGAGCGGAGGCTCCTGGTGGTGGATTAGGGAGTGAGGAGGTCATTTATTTAAATATTTCAATAGTTTGAAATATTACTGCATTCATTTCTCTATAAGTAAATCCAACTTGAAGCTTGTTTTTGCACTTCAATTCAATTGAGACAGTGAATATGACAGAATCGATCAGCAGCCATTACGATTGATCACTGCTTGACAGAATAAAATAAATCTACACTTAGAAGAATATGGGCTAATGAGGGACAGCCAGCACGGATTTGTTAAAGGCAAACAAATGTCTAGCAAATCTAACAAATGTCTTGTCTAATATGTCTTGTCTAACAAATCCAATAGAATTTTTCGATGATGTAACGGAGAGGGTGGATAAAGGTAGTGCAGTTAATGTAGTTTATATGGACTTTCAAAAGGCATTTGACAAAGTGCCACACAAAAGACTTGTAAGAAAGATAGAAGCCCATGGTATAAAAGGGGCAGTGGCAGCGTGGATCCAGAACTGGCTGGGAGACAGAAAGCAGAGAGTTGTGGTGAACGGCTGCCTTTCTGACTGGAGGGAAGTGTACAGTGGCATCCCCCAGGGATCGGTATTAGGACCACTGCTCTTCTTAATTTACACAAATCTGGACTTGGGTATTATTATTATTATTATTTATAAATAGGGGCATAAAGTACAAGAGTCAGGAGGTTACGATTAACCTATATAAAACCCTGGTTATGTCTCAGTTAGAATACTGCGCCCAGTTCTGGGCACCACACTATAGGAAGGATGTTAAGGCATTGGAAAGGGCTCAGAGGAGATTTACGAGGATGGTACCAGGAATGAGGGACCTTGATTATGAGGAAAGGCTAGAGAGGCTGGGATTATTCTCATTGGAGCAGAGAAGGTTACGAGGAGACCTAATAGAGGTCTTCAAAATCATGAAGGGATTTGATAGGTTAGAAAGGGAAAAACTGTTTCCACTGGTGGGTGTGTCGGTGACTCGAGGTCACAGATTAAAAATAGTATCTAAAAGAAGCCGAGGGGAGGTGAGAAGAAATTTTTTCACGCAGCGAATTGTTCGAATCTGGAACGCATTGCCTGAAAGGGTGGTGAAGGCTGATTCGATAACTACTTTTAAAAACGCGATGGACAGGTATTTGAGGAGGAAGGGTTTGCAGGGTTATGGGGAAAGGGCTGGGGAGTGGGACTGATATTAATTGCTCTATTCAAAGAGCCGGCACAAACTCGATGGGCCGAATGGTCTCTTTTTGTGCTGTACAATTCTATGATTCTATGAAGACAAATCAGTCAAAAGACTGAAATATTAAGCAGGTTCAAAGTTTGCAAGTAGAATTGATATATTCAAACTCAATTGTCAAATAAAGTTCAAACATCAAAGCAAGCTGTAGATAATACAATATAATTTATATTTACATTGTGCCTATCACTTTGAAGGGCTTTTCAAAGCGCTTCGCACTGCTGTGGCTAGGAAACCAAGCTGGAGGGTGGGAACTCAAAGAGGATGGAGAGTGGAGAGATGAAGGAAAGCATGATTGAAGAGATAAATCTCAATATTTACTGGGTCAATACAAAATGCTCCAGAAGCAGCCTTATCAACTGGAATTAATGAGAAACATCACTGATTTAGCACACATCTCTACAATAAAAAGTTGTTTCAGCACAAAATGAGATTCTCAGCACAAGCAATTTGATTTTTATAAACTAAGTAGTCACCTTCACACCACAACAATGCTCAGTAAGACATTTAAAGGTCACTTGCTAGTGTTCATTCATAAACATTTTTTAAACTGCTTTTGTTTTAAGTGGAATAGATACAGTACTATTATGGCAAATGTCTCACCTTAGTTCAAGATCATAACCTGTAAAACGAAGCTTCCGCAACATGACTAAGTACGGTATTAACGCATACAAATGTGTTTAAACAGCTCTTTACTTGACATTATACAAGACCTGTATTAACTTTGGACTCAATATAACATGTCTAAAATAAACCTAGTGGTCAATTCTCTTGTCTAGTCAATCATGGAGCTCATATTCCTATCCAGCATTGGAACTTTTCCACAAGAGAAATAAGCAATGTCAGTCTTATAGTATCCTATGGCAGCATTCAAAATTAGGTCCTACAGATAAGTCTAAAATTCTACCACAACAGTTAAAGATTCATTGAAGCAAAGGTTTGGGGGCAGGGGGAGAGGATAAAATAAAGGCATGTGCGTGGGCAACACCTATCTTTTTTGTCAGTTGGGAGTCTGACACATGCAAAAACAATCATCAAATCTTCAGGTCTGGCTACATGTTCTTCTTTGCTTGTTCTGGAGAGTGTAATCTCATCCCTGAACTTGCACAAACATACACATATACGCCTTGTCTATACCCAGACAACACAAGTGCAAGTTGGCAATTAGATATTAGGGCCCACTAAAGTGTGGACCAGGGTACTAGAATGTAGACATCTAAAATGCTCACCTCATCAGTATGGTGCTTTCCACTACTTGTTTACCTAACCCAACTCATTTGGGTATTGATAAGCAGTTATCTATAAGAATTCTATCCCCATTAATGGGTCTAAAATACCAAGTCCTATTAATGAGCCAGGAAGCCTGGACAATCCTGTTGACATGTACTATCCCTCTGCAATCCGTCACTCCCTTCAACAAACATCTCATCATTAACAACTTCATCCTGGATAAACACATCAAGATCAACTTGGACCCACCAAAATCTGTCTGTCCCCCAGTGCCCCTCCCTCTTATTGGGTCCTCCCCTCCCAAATACACTTCTCATTGCTCAAACAGTAGCAGTGGTAGCAAGGTGATCATCTCCTAAACTTCACTTGATCTATCTCCTTACTCCTCCAGCACCTTTTCTTTAGAGCACATCACTGTACAAACCCTTCACTGTCCAGCGCCTTGGAATGTCCACCTGATGTGAAAGGCACTATACAAATGTAATTTGTTGTTGTTTATTATCCTTCTATTTTTTCTTTCAAGGCTATCATCTCAAAAATCACCCGGCATCTTCTTCACCAACATCTCCTCTTTCCTCTCCGAATGTGTTAACTTTTCCTGCCCCATCATCTCCAATTACATCCCCACCTCCCCTCCATCTTGTATGTAAACTCCCGACCCACAACAATCAACCATGCCGCCCCTCTGTCTTGTCATCACTCATGGTCTCAATGACTCCGACCCCACCACCACTGATAAGACCATCAATAAATAAAATACAACACAGGGGAGATTGATATTCAAACTAGAACTTAAAATAAGCAGGTTCTGTTTCACCATCCTCACACACTTATTTTACTCCCACAAATGCACTGACATTGAATCTGCCAACACAAATGCTTACTTACAAATTTCTCACAAAATATTTGAAAAATTGCAATCAGGGTCAAAAAAAGTCACTGATACAGGTAAATAAAAAGGCAGGATTTTGTATTAAACTGCCTAAGATTATAAGGTAATCCTCCATCCATAGGCTGCAGATCATCCAGAACTCTGCAGCCTATTTACTCTCCCGCACCAGCTCTGTGACCCTATCACCCCCATTTTCGCCCAACTCCACTGGCTTCCCATCACACAGAGGATACAGTTCAAGATGCTGGTCCTCACCTTCAAAGCCCTCCATGGTCTTGCTCCCCACTACCTCTGCAACATCCTAATCCCTACCATCCTGATCACTCCTCCACTCAGTGGGCTCTGGCCTGCTTCACGTTCCCCGCCTTGCTCGCCCCTCTATTGGCGGACGGGCCTTCTGCCACTCTACCCGCTGGAACTCCATCCTGCAGTCCCTCTGCCTCGCCCCCCCCTTGCCTCCTTCAAGACCCATCTCAAGATCTTGCTCTTCGACCGTGCTTTTTGATCTCCCTGTTTCCCGCCCTGCCCTCCACACTCCCCAAAACTGTCTGTCCAGCACCTTGGGACATCCTCCCAAAGTGAAAGACACTATACAAATGTAATTTTGTTGTTGGTGTTGTTGTTAGATCTTAGAAATTCCCTTTTGGCAAAAACATCTACACACAATTATTTTGATAGTTTGCTGAATGACAACTGGTGCTGCTCAGCTTGTACAGATGCTACTTGTACAGATTTCAACAAGACTTTAAAAAGATATCTTTATTTGAAGAAAGATACATTTCATATTAATATTTTTTAAATGAGAGGAACTGTTACACATTTTCCAAGTTTTTCACACCCCAAGCAGTCTGATCATGTGATTAGTGTTATGAATTGGAGAAAAGTGTCACATTATTCAATGCTGCAAGCAATGCAATTTTATACTGCAAGGCCGCATTCCTATTTGTAAAGACTTTACATCCTTCAGAGATAGCTAACAGGCATATATACATCATCTTTTTCTAATTAAAAATCTACATGACAGCTTCCCAATGTGATCAAAACTAAAAATCTGAAAAAGTGCAATGTCCCTGCCCTTTGTGAAGCAAGGTACCTTGCAAATTTATACGATATAACAAACTAACTGGAGTGGATTTATCAAGAAATCCTAATTGATGAATGTACTGTTCATATTGCTGAAGTTGAAGAAAAATCTCTTCCAGCAACAAAGCATTAGGAAACCTGACTTATTTATCAGGCTGCTGTGTATTAACATTTTAATTTGGGGGAATGACAATAAGAAAGGATATTACCATCATTTGAGGGAGTGATCTGTACAACCTAATGAATAAGGTAATCCAAACTGGAATAGGAAACATGATGAATAGGTGCCCATCAGCAAAAGGCAAACAAGGAAAAGGATTTTGTGTGCATTGACTTAAAAGTTTTAAAAATATCAATGGATATTTTAATATATATATAAATATAATATATATATATATTATATATATTATATATAATAGCTGTTAATGTGCTCCTCATCCCAATGTTAGCCTCCGATACAAGCCTTCATTACTTGAATGATATTCTGCTTAGGGTAGCTCCATCATTCAGTCAAGGGAAATCATTGGAACATTGAAACTCATGCTATATAAAAATCCCTATCCAAGGATTAATTCTCAATTATTTTTGATTCACAAAACGAACTATAGGCTGCAATAGCACAACAAAAGAAACAATCTGTCAGAATGAATTGCTGATTTCCAAAAATGAACTATTGTAGGAAAAAAAGGAAAGGTTAAAGAGCAAGATACAGTATGTGGAAGATAAACTACACTCAAAATCAGGAACTATGTCACAATAAAAAGATGAGCTGTGCTGCAAAATGACCAAGAACTGCAGTGGTTTAAAGGATTCTGAATGATTTCTGAGGGAAATCTTCAGATGAAAATCAAAAATAGCTTGATCAAAAGATCAAATAATATAGTGAAAAGACTCAAGTCTTAAGCTTATTATAATCATTTGAGGGAGTGATCTGTTCAAACTAATGAATAAGATTATCTAAACTGGAACATAACTATGATGAACATTTGTTTAAGTAGGTGAACAAGGCAAATATTTTGAATTAGAAGGTTGTGGATTCAAGCCTCATGTTGGGACTCTGAACTCACAGTCCCTTCTAATAAGCCAAGGTTTTAAGTGAGTTGCCCTCTATTATTGCTATGAGCATCATTTTGGAATCTGTAATCCAAACATTTTTGCTACTGTGTTAAAACACAATAAAGTTTTTTTTAAAGTTAGTTATATTTTGTTTCATTTGTTATAACCTTGCTGAAAAATAGAACCTGCTGCCAATTTCTTTTATAAGAGTGAGCACTTTGACAACTGAGTTTATGAACAGGTATTTCTAGGTTCAAATCCAAGGAAGGCCCAACATATGGACATAATCACAGAAATTCAACTGGCACTAAATGGGGTGAATGAAAGATGCCAAATAGTACCAAGCCCATGTACCAGCACCAGTTGGGCCAAGAAGACAAGAAAACAGAATGCTGTTTGCCTAACATGTGGGAAAGGCAAAGGATGAAGCACCATCACACATCTGACGCCACGGTGCGACATTTTGCCCTCTTCATAGACCGAGTTCAAAAATACCATTTTTGGCGTCTACAAAGGGCTTTTACTTGACTTTGAAAATGATGGAGCATCCAGGAATTGGCAAGTGCCAGGTTCACTATTTCACAATATTTAAGAAGAGGCTAAAAAAAGTCTTGGCCTTCTTTTAGGCTTTAAAAGAGAAGCCCGGGGTGGAGCTGGATAGGCTCGTATTGATATTTTCCTTTGTAAAGAGCCAGCCATTAACAGTGAATGAAGGAAAAAAATCACAGGAGTGTAAAGCTTAAGCAATCTTACATGATCCCTATTAATCAGCCTTTTTTTATATACTTGTATGTGTGTGTGTATAGATACACACACATACACATATACACACACAATAAATCAGAAGATTGTACAAGAATACTTTGTGCAACTAGCACAAATTAATGTGTTCCATTCTCTTATGAACATGGAGAGGTAATCAAGAGATGCGTTTTGAAAGTTATCCCAGCTAGTGTAAGCTCAATGTTGGCCATAACAAGCAAACAATACACAAAACTAAAGTTAAGCTTGATTGCTTCCTTATTGTGCCTACCAGACCTATCCATGCATTAAGCAATAATTCAGTATTGCACCTGGCCTTGCTTCCAACCTGACCTCAATCATGTCTGCTAATCTGCAAACTAAATTCAGTCTGATTTAGTCAGCTTTGCTGAAGAAAAGTCTGAAATGCAACCAGTCTTAGCACTGAATTACCTCCCAGCCTGAACCCACTCAGCACTACTTCTGGCTCCGTAGTTTTCATGATAAATTTAAAGTTGACAATTCATGGATAAGGACAATTAACAAACCTAAAATGACTGCAAAAGTGATCAGATTCTATTTGTGTTTATAGAAATGCCGTCAGTTGGTTTATCGGCTTTTGTCTCAGTAGTGGGTTTTCAGAGTGGATATTAACTGTTAATGTGTTCCTCATCCCTAATGAATAACAGTCAAAAAAGAGAATTAGTGTGTAATATTGCTAAAGCAGTCTTATATGATAAAAAACAAATGGTAATTATTAGGAAATTCTATGTTCAGTATATATTCCATAATGATACACAACACTTGTAGTTTATGGACCAATCATTTGTTTTAGCCAGAGAATAATTTCTGGCATTGGATTACAAATATTCACAAATATTCCACTATAAAATTGACCAACTTTTCTCTCATTTCCAAATTTAATAGAAACTGGCTGAATTGTTTAAGGCGATGTCTGACACCCCCCCACCCCACCCCCCCCCCCCCCCATGAAATGTAATTTGTATTACTGTTTTGTTTACAATGCAAAAACTAGGGTGTTTACTTACTGCTATTTCTCTGCAAGCTGACATAGAAATTCCAGTACCCTCTATTTGTTTTAAAGCGTAGTCTTTGTCATCTTTCCTATACAAGACAAAAAATTAAAACAGAATTGTTACAGAAAGGGGATTCTTAGTTGGCACGAATTCAATGCAAAGAAAACCCCTCAGACATTTCTTGTGGTGTATTTAAAGAAAACATTTTACCCATTTACAAAACTACGACTGCAGATGCTCACAAAGTAACACAGATAACTACAGTAATTTAGGTTTCTTAAAATTATCCTCAAAACCAGACAAAACTTCAGCCATATATTTCTGAAATTGAGTGCAATGTTAATACTTTCAACCAAAACTGTGGAAACAGTACACCAGGCAAATTCTAGGCTGCAAATAAAGTTACTTGTATGCAGTAACATAGAATACATTGATTTGTACATGTTTGGCCAAAACGATAGGTCTTGAATGTGGGGAGGGAAAGAGCAAGGCAGAGGGATTCAAGGGTGGAGTTCGAGAAGGTGGGTGCAGATTAAACAGGGGACATGAAATAGGCCAATGTTTTCTGTGTAAAGGGGACATTAAGGATGCAGGAGATTGCAGAGGTAGGCCATCAAAGTATTTGAAAGTGAAGATGAGGAACTTGAATTTCATCTGACTCCATAAGGAGTAATGAAACTGATCACGGATATGGTGATGGGCTGAGGACTTGACTGTGCAAGGGTATGAAGAGAAGCTGTTGGAGAAAACATAGAGAAGATAGTGGAATAGGCAACTGTGAAACTTGAACAGAGCAATGGAGGTGAAGCAGAGGAGATACAGTGGAAAAGAAAAGAGATTGACATAATCAAAGACAGCAGAGTGCAAGGAGGACAAGGAATCACAAAGGTGTAAAATAAACCATGCTGTCGATAATGCTCCCATTTGGGGGAGAAAGAAATTCCGCCCCTGGTACAATGCACATGCACTACATCTATAACTAAGGATTCTCAAAATGGAATATCAGTACTGAGACCTCAGTCCTACTGAGGTTAAGTGGACATGCAGTTATCCAGCATAACAGAGGTAATAGGTAAAGGGAATACAAAGAAAAAATACCAGGATAAGCACAGGTAAAGGTTTCAAAAGGCTTTAAACATTTTTTTTAATAGAATAATAATAAGAATGGTACTTGTACAGCTTTATTACAGTAATATATCTGTCAGTATGCATACTGAATATATGCAAAACATATCAGCCCAGAGACAGTTCGACTTCCCGAAGAGCAGTCTAAAAAAAATCTACTGTCAACCTAGAATTATGTTTGCCTACAAAATATAGCCAGTAAATTCTGTGAGGTGGCCTCCAGACAGGAATGGCACGATATGAAATGCAAAGATTATCATTATTTATTATTAAATTAAACTCTGCAGCAGCAATTGATTTCTTCAAATAGTAATTCCTGCATTTTGTTTAGGTTACAATACACAGGGAATCCAGGGAGTTGGCTCAATACCATAGATACGAAGTTAATAAAGGTGTGCGTTCCTTTAATAAGCTGCTGTTTATGTCGCTCAGAGAATCTAATTCGAATAGATTGAAGAGTTATGAAAAACAGTTGAATAATTTCATCCCCTGGTTCCTGTAACCATTTTGGTAAATAAGCTGAAAACATTGAGTGGAAGGAACACTTTACAATCATATTTAACAAAGGCATCCTCATCCTTGCATTTTTTTACCAATAACCACAGCAATGGTAGGAATACAGTAACAATTGCTGTCATTCAACATTGACTGTAATAACATTCCAACAGATATCTGTATGCCAAGATAACTATTTGACTTTCGGCAAATACAAAAGTGAACAGAATTTAGGACGTTTTAAGAAAAACAGCACTGTACTGCCATGGATGTTATTCAAACTAAAATTTATTTTGGAATATACAACAAGGCTTTATGAGGATCAACTGAGTATCTAACCTATAAATGTTATGTTCAAATCCATTAATTCCCTGGCACTTCCCTACCTCTCCGACCTCCTCATTCCCCAATCCAACACCCGGGGCCTCTGCTCAACTGGCACCGGCCTCCTTCCTGTCCTTGGCACCCTCCACTCCACCATTGGAGGTTGCTCTTTCACTATGCCCCAAACACTCTCCCTCAATCCCTCCGCCTTGCCCCCACTCTCCCCTTTTTCAAGTGCTGCCTGAAAACCTTCCTTTTCGACCTTGCTTACGGTCACGCCCTCCCCAGCTCGGAGTCAGGCTTCACCACTGTTAAGTGCTCTGAGATGCTACCCGGCGTGGAGGGCACCATATAAGTGTTGTTGTTGCCTTCACATTTGGGGATCTCCTTATGACTCTGTTCTCTTATGCCACTCCTCTGCTTTCTCCTCCACTCTGGTTTGCTGCACGTCCCATTCCCTCCCTGCAACATCAGTGGCCGAGCCTTCAAATTTTAAGCCCCTAACCTCTAGAACTCCCTTCCCCTCACCTTTCCCCATCTCTGTCTGTCTTTGTTCCACCTTAATCCTATGTTTTCGAACATGCCTATAATCTGTCATCTCCCCCTTCTCCCCTCCCGCTGCTCCTCTACCCTGCTTGGCATACAACCCGATCTTTGTAAAGCACTGAGTATGAACCGAGCTATATAAACATTAATTGCTGTTATATTTGACACTTAGTAACCATGAATTTGCTTAAATCTAAAAAGTTTCAAACTATTTTCTAATCCCATATAGCATAGGCACAAATTGGCAAAAGATAAGGTTAGAGACTCGATACTGTACATCAAGCACTGCTGGAATTTAACAGTCTAATACTGTAAATCTTACCATTGCTAACACTACTAAAGCCTTAGTTATTTCTAAGTTTCAAAAATTAGTTTGCATACCCCATAGCTGAACTTTCCAAACAACAATTTTCTTATTCATTCCCGTGATGATTTGAAGGCTAAAGAACAACATTCATATTGGAGCAGAGAAGGTTAAGAGGAGACTTAATAGAAGTTTTCAAAATGATGAGGGGATTCGATAGGGTGAAGAAGGAGAAACTATTTCCACTGGTGAGTGGGTCGGTAACCCAAGGACACCGATTTAAAATAGTTAAAAGAAGCAGAGGGGAGGTGAGGACAAATGTTTTCACACGGGTGGTTCGGATCTGGAATGCATTGCCTGAAAGGGTGGTGGAAGCCGATTCGATAACAGCTTTTAAGAGATAAGTAGATAATTATTTGGGGTGGATAAGTGCAAGGCTATGGGGAGAGAGCGGAGGAGTAGGATTGATTTGGATAACTTTTTTCAAAGAGCCGGCACAAACACGATGGGCCGAATGACCTCCTTCTGTGTTGTATAATTCTATGATTCTATAAAACAGACCATTCGGCCCAACTAGTTCATGCTCCACACAAGCCTCCACCCATCACTACAAATTGGTCCTTTCTATCCCTAAATGAAAATATTCAATTTTTCCTTGCTATCATGTCTGTTCACTGGGTAAGATGATAATCCATTTTCTACAGAAGTAAGCAGGGTATGTGTACAAACTGGCACCATTGTTCACTCTCCCTGAACACCAAGGAACAATCTGGAAAATAGCTGCGTTGATAGAAAATCCATGCACATGTGCCACAATTGAGAGATCTTATGCTCATTGGCTTGTAAAGGGTTAGTAGGGATCCTACCCTGTAACCCATCTGAACTGTCCAATAGATCAAAATATATTGGCAGCTATGTTAGCCAGGAGTCAGACATAATCTTCACACTCTCCAGAAGGTAATCTTACACTGTTCTGCTATAATCAAGTAGCTGTCAAAAATTAGTCAAGTGTTCTCATCTGCATACAATGGAGCATTGAAATAGACTTGGCTCAAATCAAAAGGTTTTAAAATACAATGAAGCTTTCAAATCTACCTTGCCCACGATCAAATAAAATGTTTTGAAATATCAGGGGTCCAATTCCAATATTTTCTAGTTTACTATTGCCTTTTGCAAGAAAAACAAGTGGTTCCTGAGCTTTGGTAAACAGCACATCACAATCACAGGATGAATTCTGAATTTGATCTGCCGTCTTCAAGAATTCTACACTTTGAATCAGCTTTTGGATTTTCATTTGGAGCTCTGATTGTCCTTAAGTCACTATGTTTATTCAACTGCTCAGTCAAAAATATTTTATTTTGTTTTCATTGGAAAAGGCCAAACGCATCAATTGTCTTCCGAAAGAAACTGGGAGACCAATGTGGAAGAGCATTTTGTTAATCTTCAAAGACGTTGTGAAAGACCTTTTTAATTCTAACATATTTTTGAGAGACAAAACCATTAAAAGCTTAACAAATTTACAAGAACAGAAATTTAAACCTCATCCCCAAACAGTCTTAATAAATACTGTGGGTATTATTGAAGCACATCAAAGGGAAAAGAAATGCAAAACTCCAATATCTCATTCATGTATTATAAACATTCAGCGAAAAGGGCTTGTATTCCAAAACGTGGAGCAGAACGTTTCTGAAAGTGTGAGAAAAGGTTTTGCCATATTTAACAAAATTATTTCAAATGAGAATGCAGTTTTCATCAATGCTCATTAACACGGCTAGTTTAACAGACTTCAATTGTGAAAGAGTGAGCAGATAAAGACATTCCTACACACACAAACACACACATTCTGTGGGTTTAGGAAAACCTGATGCGTATCAATCGGATACAAGCTCTAGGTACCATATTTTAGCTCAAATTAGATACTGAATCTTTATTAAGGAGCCATGTACATTAAAAATGCAGGGTGTGCAATATTTTACTATACTTACTGGCTAGACAACAACGATAAGTGAAACTACATTGGTTTATATATACGCATTCCATGAAAAAACTGAAGAGGGTGGGGAGAGGAAAGTTGACCAAAAGCATGGACAAACAGACCAGTCTTGGGGCATGCTTTGAAGGTAGAGAGGGAGAGGGGAAGTTAAATGAATACCAGAATGGAGTTCTAGAAAGCCTGGGAAGAATTTGGGTAATAGCTAAGTTTGGTGCAATTGAAGGTACATATGGTAGAGTCTTAGTTAAACTGAAGTTCAGCATTTAGATTGAGTTAACCTCCAAATACTTCTACAACTGCA